TTGCTTGAAATATTTTTAACCGACAGAATTTAACTCGCCCGCTCGACTTATTTTATTGCTCGGATACGCGGGTTTCCGAGCCATCCCTTGCGCGAAATCCCTCGCCAACCCTTGCGCGCCCAACTTCCGATTATCGGTCAAATTGGCCGATTATCTTTCCGAGAAGAGAGAAACTGCGACGGTTTCGGTGTCGTTGGCCACGCGTCGTCGTCGAACGATGGAAACGAAAGCGCGGCGCGGGTAAACGATTCGGCTTCGTGACGTTCGAAGCAATCCCGGCAAAAGTCTCTCCTTCCATATCGGATAAAAGTCCGCCGAGCGTAATGGCAGCACGAGCAGTCAATTAGCAAATTCTTAGGAAATCGCTTGGCATTGCAGCCGTTGTATGTTCTGCGTGCGTAATTTACACGCGAGGGCGGACTATATTATTCGCGCTTACACTTCGGACCTCGTGCACTGTAATTTATCGAACGAGCCGATGTAGATAACGAAAAAAAAGGATAACATCGCGAGCAATGCCTCGCTGCCGCGGAGCATAAATGTTGGCTAACCCAGAAACCTGGTATTAAACGGACCAACGAACGGTCCGGCGGACGTGGCTACGTTAAAAAGTTTCAGTAAATCTGCCCCGATAATTCGCGAATAGCTCTCGGGCAACGATCAAACCGAACTGATTTCTTTCTATACGTGTACCGTGCACCCCCGCGCGCAACGATCGTCCAACGATTCCACAAATTGCCACGAATACAAGCTCCGCTTTTACGTTAACAAATACGTACGTGGGAAATCAAGTTGCAACGTTATAATAACGTAAGGGAATAAATCGAAGACTCTTCGTTTCTCTGGAAATAAACGCGTACGCGAATAGAGCGAAACGTCTCTGGATTTTTTTCAAGAAAAGGTATCAGCGATTCCTTTGGCTATAGAAGCGAACGCTGGCCGAGGCAGAACGTTAAAATAATCATGGAAATCATTGAACAGGTCGCGCTAAGGGCAGATATTGAATGACACGGAACGGCGTGTGCCGGGACTGGTAGCGCGTATCTCGTGTCGAAACTTTTTTCCAGCGAGGTCGCACGAAGCGTTTGGCCTCAAACTTTCCGTCGCGCCGCGCCGCCGCGCGCCGTGTCGATTCTGATAAAAAATCTGAATGTGAAAAACTTCGTCGCAAGCTCGGCAACGAAAGGCGAACGCTGGAAAACCTTCCTCGATCTCCGCGAGTTCGGAAAATCGCCGTTCGTCGGAGCCGGACGATCGTCCGGACCGCGCTGTTCCGAACGCGATACGATTTATCCGGATAGAAATCCCTCCGTTTTTTCCAAGAAAGTATCGTTTACCCTTTGCGCTCGAAGAATCGGTTCGCAATCGTAAAAGCAAGTGTACCATGTCGAGCGGGGTGGACTCGATCCCTGTTGACGCATCGGGGTGCTTCGTTATCTGCAACGTTTCCTTGTACTTTCTCGAAAAGCGCTGCTCGTTTGTCCGTCGAGTGAGAAAGCGTTACATGCCGCGTGCTTTATGCCGAAAACGTGCTAAATTATTTGTACATCGTTTCGTGGCACCAAGTTTCTAACACGATCAAGTTGGAAAGTAAAGAATGCCTTCGCATAGCTACCGAAGCGCGATGCATTTCGTGTCGACTCGATTCTTTGCTCGTACTACTTCGACCTTTCTCTCGTCGTGTTTCATTTGTTTCTCTCTCTCTCTCTCTCTCTCTCTCTCTCTCCCTCCCTCTCTACACTCTCTCTCTTTCCCACTCCTTTCTACCCCCGTCACCCTACCATTCACCTCATCGCTGTTGCTTCTACTTCCCCATTCTCGTACACTTGTTGCTTCGTCACGGAATCAACTTGTCCGAAATTTTTACCCTCGCCTCGTCACGAATCGCAAACAAATTGGCGCTGACGATGACGCTGCGATATTTTTATTTCGGTAAAGAATGCGCGCTCGCGACGATTTCAAACGGAGTTTAACGAATCGGTTGCGATCATTATGGATTCTTCGATAGCCTAAATCGTGTCCTTATTTTGTTCCGCGTTCGAGCCGACCGTCTTAAACGCTGCTCTCCGTACGCTGCATCTCCGTTCGCGTAAAAAAGGTTTTTACATTTAAGTTCATTTTGTTCGCCTTCTTTCTTTCAGTTTTAAGTTTCTTTTTCCTTGCGCGATCGCTACNAGCCGATGTAGATAACGAAAAAAAAGGATAACATCGCGAGCAATGCCTCGCTGCCGCGGAGCATAAATGTTGGCTAACCCAGAAACCTGGTATTAAACGGACCAACGAACGGTCCGGCGGACGTGGCTACGTTAAAAAGTTTCAGTAAATCTGCCCCGATAATTCGCGAATAGCTCTCGGGCAACGATCAAACCGAACTGATTTCTTTCTATACGTGTACCGTGCACCCCCGCGCGCAACGATCGTCCAACGATTCCACAAATTGCCACGAATACAAGCTCCGCTTTTACGTTAACAAATACGTACGTGGGAAATCAAGTTGCAACGTTATAATAACGTAAGGGAATAAATCGAAGACTCTTCGTTTCTCTGGAAATAAACGCGTACGCGAATAGAGCGAAACGTCTCTGGATTTTTTTCAAGAAAAGGTATCAGCGATTCCTTTGGCTATAGAAGCGAACGCTGGCCGAGGCAGAACGTTAAAATAATCATGGAAATCATTGAACAGGTCGCGCTAAGGGCAGATATTGAATGACACGGAACGGCGTGTGCCGGGACTGGTAGCGCGTATCTCGTGTCGAAACTTTTTTCCAGCGAGGTCGCACGAAGCGTTTGGCCTCAAACTTTCCGTCGCGCCGCGCCGCCGCGCGCCGTGTCGATTCTGATAAAAAATCTGAATGTGAAAAACTTCGTCGCAAGCTCGGCAACGAAAGGCGAACGCTGGAAAACCTTCCTCGATCTCCGCGAGTTCGGAAAATCGCCGTTCGTCGGAGCCGGACGATCGTCCGGACCGCGCTGTTCCGAACGCGATACGATTTATCCGGATAGAAATCCCTCCGTTTTTTCCAAGAAAGTATCGTTTACCCTTTGCGCTCGAAGAATCGGTTCGCAATCGTAAAAGCAAGTGTACCATGTCGAGCGGGGTGGACTCGATCCCTGTTGACGCATCGGGGTGCTTCGTTATCTGCAACGTTTCCTTGTACTTTCTCGAAAAGCGCTGCTCGTTTGTCCGTCGAGTGAGAAAGCGTTACATGCCGCGTGCTTTATGCCGAAAACGTGCTAAATTATTTGTACATCGTTTCGTGGCACCAAGTTTCTAACACGATCAAGTTGGAAAGTAAAGAATGCCTTCGCATAGCTACCGAAGCGCGATGCATTTCGTGTCGACTCGATTCTTTGCTCGTACTACTTCGACCTTTCTCTCGTCGTGTTTCATTTGTTTCTCTCTCTCTCTCTCTCTCTCTCTCTCTCTCCCTCCCTCTCTACACTCTCTCTCTTTCCCACTCCTTTCTACCCCCGTCACCCTACCATTCACCTCATCGCTGTTGCTTCTACTTCCCCATTCTCGTACACTTGTTGCTTCGTCACGGAATCAACTTGTCCGAAATTTTTACCCTCGCCTCGTCACGAATCGCAAACAAATTGGCGCTGACGATGACGCTGCGATATTTTTATTTCGGTAAAGAATGCGCGCTCGCGACGATTTCAAACGGAGTTTAACGAATCGGTTGCGATCATTATGGATTCTTCGATAGCCTAAATCGTGTCCTTATTTTGTTCCGCGTTCGAGCCGACCGTCTTAAACGCTGCTCTCCGTACGCTGCATCTCCGTTCGCGTAAAAAAGGTTTTTACATTTAAGTTCATTTTGTTCGCCTTCTTTCTTTCAGTTTTAAGTTTCTTTTTCCTTGCGCGATCGCTACCCTTACCGTTCTCGCGAAACGAAAAGAAAACCGAGAATAAAACATAGCAGCAGCGACGTTGGTCGCGTTTATCGAGATATCTTGCGAATCGACGAAATTCGAAGAGCCATTAAAATTAACGAGCCATCGAAGTTTTCCTGTTCGTTCGGCGAAGAAATATAGGAACGTTTAAACGGACTTGCGCGAAGATCATTATTGTTCGTTCGGCGAAATTACTGCGGAAACGAGCGAAACGATGCGCGCAGTCAAATTATGCGAGTGTTTGTCGGACGATACATGATAATTTTGCTCGTGTAAGGCAAAAGAAGCGTAGATCGGCGCGCAGAGGCGAGCTATATTAAATGCATGTCCTAACTACCTGGAGTACGTGATGAAGCATTCCGTTGCACATGACTTAACATCACGACGTTCGTCGACAGTATCATAGAGGGAATTTCATAGCTCTCCATTAACTCCTTTGTCAGCACGGTGATGGCTCTTTGATTACAGAGACGCAAATTCATTTAACCGGTGCATCCCTGTAGGGTACTCGGCAGAATCTCGTACGATGGCTAACGATCGCTCGACTATTAAATATCCCATTCTATGAATTTTCAGACAGTCGATAGAAATATTAACAATTGGAACTTCTATCGTCGTTAGAACCGTCGACGAAGCGAAACTCCGCATAGCATCCTAAAGTACTCCCTGCCGTTCGCACGTATTCGTAATTATTTTTGTTTTCTCGTACGTTGCAAATACGAGAAAATCAAAGTATATCGTCGATCGGCGACGGGCAACTTCAAACAACGGACGACATCGAAAACAATCGTGCGATTCGTTTGTCAGGATAACGATTACGTTCGGTCGCGCGGATCTTCGATAACGGGCAAAATGTGATTTAACGAGCTCGCGAGACAACTTGCGATTCTATTTGCGCGACAAAACAGGGATATGCGACCAATCTTCTGTGAGTGTGTGCAGATCTTCGCGTGCCTTCTCTTCGATAATCTCTCGATGGTAAAACGTTGGAACGAAAACTTAAAAGGTTAAATCGACGGGAAACGATAACGAGACATGAGAAATTTCCGTATGGAAAGTCGTTTTTTATGTGGGGCGAGCCTTTAAAGGAATCGTTCCTGTAGGAAAGCGTCGGCGATGCCAACGATTTTGGAAACGAAGAGATCGATCACGGTTGGAAATGGCCTGCCTTTACATCGATCGACTGAAGCGTGATTTTCAACGAGCCCACCGTTTCGGTCAACGCGCGAACAACGGCGAAGTCTGGTGTCCTCTATCGTCGATAAATCGTCTTTGCAATTATAAGTGCGAAGACGCACCCGAAGTCTCTACGAACGCGAGCATCTCGGTGAAATTCAATCCAGCGGTACCGAAAATTTTTGCCATCGGCTTGCATCCCGATCGTCGAGACACGAGGAAACGTTACTTTTCGCTGATCACCATCAAGGAACTCTTGAAGCGATACCTGGCCTATCTTGTTCGAAGGTATGACACGTATATTAGAATATGCAAATTATGGTGAAAAGTTATCTAATTTGTGCGCGATTATTTACAGATATCGAAGCTATTTCCGCTCTCCTTCGAAGCTTGTTCGCGATGAAAATTGCCACCGGAACGCGTGCGCGTTCGGCTCCTTCGTTTCCATCGTCTCAAAATGTTCGAAAGAGTTCGCCAACAAAAATATATGGGATACGGACAAGGAATCGAGCCGTGCAACTCTACGGTGTAAATGCAAGCACCGTGGATCACCGAACGGAAGACCACGCGACGCGCAAGCTTTCTCGAGAAGCGTCGCGAGACCAAATTTTCCCGACGAACGGTACATCGAACATCCTCGAGATCGTCGAAACGCGAGGAATAAGGATCGCCGTTGCGGTCGCACGGTCGAGGAGGTAAACTCGAAAGACGGCCGATCGAGTTCGAGAATCGATCGCACCGTTTCGTCCAGCCGATCGAACGCTTCCGGGGACGCGCGTTTCGAGCACGAAGATTCGCCGATTTCTGTAACGAAGAGAAGCGTCGGCGTTCAGACGTCGAGAAAAAGCGACGCTCGTCGCAAGGATCGTCGAAAGAAAATATGCGGGAGAAACCGGAAGGAAAGATCCGCTCCGATTTCGACGAAAACGCCGTTTCCCCGAGACGTCGAAACCATTTTCAAGGCTAACAGCGAAGACTTCGATTGGGAGGACAGCAACTTGAACCTGGATCCGTGGGGAACCAAGGGGAAGCGTCGCTCGAACGCGTCGATCGACGAAAACGGAAGCGGAAACTCGGAAACTCGGAAACTCTCCGAAGCACGGTATTCGAGAAGCGAGGGTGATCGCGATTCGGCGACGATCCATTGGAAATGCGCGAAACGGGACCGATCGGTCGCAACGATCCGAACGATTTTAACGAACGAGTGCCACGATATGGAACCGTCGGAGACCGAAATTTCCAAGGAAGTACAGGTCGACGAGAATCGAGCTCCTTCGAACGCCAGCGGAGTCGTTCTCCTCGCGAATTCGATCGAAGTGGAAGACAAGTCGTCCGAAACGATAATTCTCGGCAATATAAAGAAGCGACTGGAGGAGGACTACGACGATTATTTTTCGTTCGACGAGTACGTTATGGAAGACGGTTTCGACGTCTCCGAAAGATTCGCCGAACCGACTCCGAGCATCGATCGGACCTCTTCCGATGGCACGATCCACTACAGCATGGCCGAGGACGCGTCCGACGCGGCAACGTGGACGAGGAAAGACGAGGAATCGCCGAGCGGACGTCGGAAACCAAAGCGTTCGGAGGAAAATTCGAAGTACTCGTTCTCCGTTCGCTGTATCGATTCCAGTTCGAGTCGCTCGCGAAGCAGCTATTACACCCTGTCGCAGGATCGAGATTGCTCCCAATGTTCGTCGACGGAGTTCTGTTCGGCGAGCAACGATTCCTTCTCGAACTTCTCTCGCGTCGGTTCGAATTTCTACCTACCGACGATCCTTGGAACGCATCCGCTGAACACCTTCGAGACGCGCAACCGCGCGCACGAAATCTCGCCTTTATCGACTTCTTCCCCGTACGATTTTTTACTTAAAAGCGATCCGATCCTTCGAAGCAGCGGCGAAAGTCTCGACGAGGCGACGGTCGATTCGCGTCTGGCACGGATTCGTCGACGTCGATCGAGTTCCACGAAGAACGCGTTCAAGATGGTGTCGGAGTCGTTCGATTCCGGGGTGCTGTTGACCGATTGCTCCCGCGACCATATTCTTTGCGTTAGAGATTCTTTAAAGATTGGTCGCGCGGGACGAAACTGTCGCGCGACGGAACCGAATTTACTGCCGACTTACGACTTCGGTTCGAACAGCAGCTACTCGGACGAGTCGTTGGACCGACGGCTGGACGTCGTCGTGAAACAATTCACCGACAACCTGGTATTGACCGAAAGGAAGGTGCGGCTGAAATTGAGGCGACTGGAGAAACCGTCGAGGTCCAGGCAACGAAGAAGACGGCAAGGCAACGAGTCGAGGAGGCAACGAGTCCGTATCCGTAATTTTGATTTTCACGTTCGTCGAATACCTTCCTTATCCATATTTTTTACCGGACAATTTACCGAATTCGTTTAACCGCTCCGGTGAAAGCGTTGTTAAATTTACACTCTCCAATAACAGCTGGCCAACAACCGGTTAATAATTGATTTTGAACAGATGCAGAAACCCGTGCAGAGCGATTCCTCGTTCAACTTCTACTGGTCGCAGGACGATGACAAAATTGCCAGCAGTTCCACACCTCCCATATTCTCGCTTTCCGATTCCGAAATCGATCACGCATGATTCTTCGAGGATACGGATCGCAGAACGTCGCAGAATGTTCCTCGAATCGGAAATTTATCGAACGCTGCTGCACATCTTGGCACTGTTTCTCGACGCTTTCTAGTTGCAACGTTCCAAAAATCGTAACCGTTCGTAAACTTTTCTGTCGGCAATCGCGTTTAACCATCGACAAATCCTTCCCGATGTATACAGAAATTATGTTCGGCTAGAAATCTTCCGACGGGAAAGTTTCCGTCGACGCATCGACGCGAAGACGATGCTCTAGGGACACGAATCGACGCGAACGCTGGCAAACGTGTTTCACAATTATGTATTCAATTGTACCAAGCGAGTGCAATACTTTCGTTTACTTCTCATCGTTAATTTAATCGTATCGTATAATTATGTTGTATCTTTTCTCGTGTACCGATGTATTATTCGTTACGTACTCGTCGAAACTCGTTCGTTCGCACCGACTCGAAAATAAAATGTTCGCTCGTGTTTCTCTGGTTCGAATAAAACAGCCAACAAGCGATATCCTTGTTCGGATAAAGAGTTTAAAGAATCTCTGAACGAACATTTATTTTCTCTGTGTACGAAGCTGGACCGCGTTTGCAAAGAATTAGAATGTCCGAGCGTCGACGCTCGGAGCTTGGCTCTATGCGCTTTCGGCGGAGGCTCGGTGCGACGGGTAAACAAAGTCGCACCCCCGAGAGGAGCACCCTTTACAGCGTCCCGCGTGAGTAGCGTTAAAAACTCGGAGATTCGATGGGCGTGGAGCGGCGGAGCCTCGATTTCGTGGACACGATGCTCGACGATGCGACCGGCAACAATCAAAATGTGGAGACACGTCGATTTTCGCTCGGTTCGACAGAAGTTCGACCACATCATTAGACGAGACTGACCGTCTCTGTACTGTGGTTTCCTTTGAGGGCGGTCGAAACGAGCGTACTCGATATCCAGCTGAGCGGAAATGCATAAACGACCAACGGACGGGACAACCCGGACCTTTTCCTCGTTCCACGCGTTGAAAATGTGGAAGACTGCTCGGTCCCCGCTCGTGTCGGTGCTCCGACAACGTTTCCCTAACAAACGAGGATTCGGGAAGTCTCTCGGAAAACTGACGTCGCGGGTGGACAACGCCGATCAAAAGGAATCTTCCGTTTCCTTCGAAAACTTCGATGGTTTTGATTCGCAGGAAATTACACTTTCCTCTTGTCCGACGCGACTCCGCGGACGCGCGTCCCGGGTTTCCTTTGGCAGAGACAGCCTCCGGCGATGCCACGAGTCCGACGATCTTTCTCGTTATTTTTGACATTTGCGAAACTTACCGTTTACCGTCGCGCCGCTGTTCCACGCATTTTAGAAATGCCAAGATTTCGAACTTTTCGACGTTTATCCGTCGATCGGCGAATCTGAAATCTTAAAAATAGAAGATCGTCGAAGCGAAGGATCGAAGCCGTTTCTATCCGAAAATATTCGCATCCGAATTCGAACGGAAACCCAGGAACTTTTTCCTAGCTGGTGCAAAGCTGGCAGAGACGTCGAAGATCTCCGTGTGTCCTACATACAAGATCCGAGATTACCGCGATATTTATTTCTCCCTTTGTATAGACTCTCTCGCATCGGCCGAACGAACTGATACGGATACGCGCACGGAGACACGCCCGTGTACCTATGTACGCAGGCTGTACGTATGTATATCCGCGGACGCGCGTGTATATATATCAAGGAACTCCCGGGAATTAGATATCGTAGACTCGGTGTAAGATGCTTTTCCACGGCTGATCCTCCTTTACGTGAATGCGGATTTCTGGAATGGTTGAATTCGACCACGATTCTCCTCCTTTCTGCTTCATTCCCGCTCCTCTTTTTCCACCGTCTGTCTCTCTTTCAACCTGCCACGGTACACCCGACTAATTATACCCTGCTCGTCCGATTTTCCTGATTTTCGCCGGGCGACGCGACGAATTTTTTTCCTCCGCGTCTTCCAAAGGAAACGGATAAAGAAGCCGTACGCTGCCACGTAAAATACTAACGCGTTCGCTGTTGCGACAATTTTCTATTTCCGTATCTTTCTAATTCCACTTAACCGATATTGTCTTCAGAGAATTTAGTATAATAGATATATATATATATACCGAGCCAAACTTGTTACTCTTTACGTTTCAAAAATCACAAGTCGCCATTCTTTTAATCGTCGACTTTTTCCCACTGTTCCAGCATATACCTGCTATTCGCCGAAAGGATTACCGGAAAATATCGATCGACGCGAAGGAAAGTTTCCAGGATAGTCGAAGAACGAAGTCTGGCGACGAGTAAAGACATCCTTTGGACGAGGGACAAAGCAATTTTCGGCTTCGGAAGCAATCGGGTTCCACTACCCTGACGTAAAATAAAAAACCAAAGGCTGCGCCTCTTGTAAAAACGATTTCGAGCGAACGACGGCGGATCCTGTTCCCGCAAATTCGATGCAGTTGCAAATTTCGGATGCTGCAAAATTATTCGCTCCTACGACACGATCCTTTCGCGTTCGAACGCTTTTTGCTCGTTCGCGACGACGTCGTCGTTCGCTTTAAGATCGTTCGTTTCCGTTCCCATTATTTCCGACGGTTTATACGTAAAACGATCGGTCGCCCCACGGTGACCAGCTCCGCCATCGCCGTTGTGTCGCGCGAGTGCACGAGGCTAAGAAGAACTGTTCTTTAATACTCGAGTCGGAGATATTTCTTCCAAGAAATCCAGCGCGCAACGACGAAGGTTCGAGGAACGTGCTTCTCGAAAGCTTTTACAGTTATTATCCCACAGATGTTCGCCGTTTACAAGGCATCGAGGCGATATTGTGGTACCGTATAGCGCACGCAATAGCTGGGGATTGTTTACCTAATGATAAAAGCACCGTGCTCTGTTTGCCGGGCCATCTTTCTAATGCGATGTCCGACCCTCTGCTGCTACCGCTGTAACATTTTATTCTTTCTTACGCAACCCGAAGCGATCCGCGAGTACATTTTATCGCCTCGCCGAAATATCCATCGATTCGAACGGTTTCTCGATATTGCCGCCTCCGTTTGCGCCACGGATCGAAACCGTTTGCGATCGATGCGAAAGATCGATTCTTTGCTCGTCGTCTGTAATTGTAATTAACGCTTGCGATAGGAGAGAGAAATTTAGTTTCTAAAACGTTGCTCCGTTTCGGAAGATGTCGGGATATTTCGAACGGCGACCGTCCATCGCATCGGACGCGGTGGACAATTTTCGTAATGGATCGATTAACGGTGTATCGTACTTTCGGAAATTTTATTGCACGTATACACCGGAATATCGCACACGTACGCCTCCTGGCACGAACACAGAGGCGCGGATAGATACGTAGGACGCGCCAAAAGGGGGAGCTTCCCACGGGAGAAAGCGATTCTGAAAATTCTTCGAAGACACGTCGATAAAGGTCTATGGTGCTATATGCTCGAGAGAGCCCCTCTTACACGCTCGCTCTTGGCCGCTTTCTTTCTCGCACACTTTCTTATCCAGCGCGCTCGGGAAATTGTATTTCAGCCCGGCGAATAGCAAAGCGAAGATGACAAAGTCGCGAAGAAAAATTGCGAAATTGCTTCCTGCAGCGGCGCACCGAGATATTTCGAAGGTCTATCCGTCGATCGATCCCTAGGATAGAGAGATAAAAACGGGAGCTACCGGAACAAAGTTCCTCTTACAGGTTTCGCCTACCGAACGTATCTTTCCGCGGATCGTGTTCGCATTTTTTTCCAAATCGTATTACGAATTCCGGGTACGCTTTTACGCGACGAACGTTCGAACGTACGATACTGATGCGGAGAGCGAATGCTCCAAACGTTTCGTTCGATCGTTATTAACGTATATCGTAGGAACGACGTCCCGTTGTTATTTCGTATCGTAGCGGAATCGATGAAAATTCTGCGGTACGGTGGAAAAAACTCGATTATCCCGGATAAACGGAGCGACGCGAATGTTCGGATAACGAAACAGTTGCTTAGTCAAATTGGTGGACTCGATCTTTATTGGTTTATACGGCAAATCGTTGTGCATACGGGTTAATTTAGATCGTGCCGATTACGTAGGAAACGCGTTTAAATAATAGAAAGTTACGACCGGACCGTGGAAGTTTATGCGCGATAAATATGTTAAATTCGTACGACATTTATGCACGGAGAATTTGCAAAATCTGCAAAGTATGTAGGTTTGTGTAACGCGTGGTACAACGAGAGTAGAGCGTGGATTTTTACGCGAAATAAAAATTGTTCGCATTTATTAGGACTTCGGAGAGCTCGATACAAATTTCTGTCCGAGTCCCATCGTTTGAACCGTTGTAAAAATATACGTTCGCGTAAATTTTCGCGGTCCGGCTACGACGTTGCAGAACCGGGGATAAACGCGATTCCGCCGTCCGTGATACTTTTTTAGACAGCCTAATGGAGAAGAATGGCGGATTTAAAGCGCGGCCGTGATCGCGACGATCCTAGGAACCGAGAATTTCGGGAAATCAGCTTCATGGACTTAATGGTGTCCCTCTTTAACCGCGAGGGCGCGACAGATCTCTTTATTCCGTCGGCACAAAAGCTCGCGCAGATTACAGAGCTAGCAATCCCTCCACTATGGATTCTACGGCGATGCATTATGGTAGCGCACGCGACAAAGTAACGTGGAGGGACATCATCCCTGGACAATACCGACTTGGATCACGGCCCATCTTCTTTCTATGTCACACGCGATTGCTTTATTGATCTTTAAACAGGTCCTCGGATCAGCGAAAATCAATTATCCCAGCGACATCCTCGCCGATGCTTCGTCCGTACGTGTGCGTACGCGTACGTACACGTGTGTATAGGATATGGGTCCACCCGAAACGAAGAATTGACGTTTCTCTGTACGAAATAGAACACGTGGAAGTACGTTGGATCGTGCGACGAGCTTCCAAGAAAATAAATTTTACGGCGATCGAAAATTAGGTTGAACCAGAAATTTCACGTATTCGTAGCAGACGCGATACCGTAAAGCTTCGTACAGAAATTAATTGAATTTATTCGATAAAAATGTCTATTTGGAACGTCCCGTTTGGAACTCGATCGAACGTATTTCCTTCCGGATATCTACGAACGGAGACGCAGGAGCGAATAATAAACATGGGAAATGTCGATTTCAAGATATGTATATTTATCGGAAATGAAACTTTTATATACAGATATGAACAACAAATATATTTCCGTATCGATCTACGTTACATGAATACGCCTATACCTAACTATGTATATCGATATAAGTACGTTACGATTTCGTGGATGTGCGCCGATTAGAAGCTTACCTACATAAATGCAACGCTATGATACATATTTATAGAAACAAATGCATCTATAGCCGATAACGCCTCTCTTGCTCGATCGTCGCTTTACGTATAAATACTTTCCCATGAACGATCGATCTTCGAGCAAGAAACGCGCGAGCGCATTTATCATTCGTACGTCGTTAATTATTTTCTTCCGGTGCTCTTTTACGAGTCCTGTTTACGACTAGCTATGACTAGAATTTGTTCGATTAACATTTACGCGCGACGTTCGCGCACGATACACGTATCTCGGTTCTCGTCCGTAATACTTTCTACTCGATTACAATTACGCAGAGTCGAATTCCTCTCTCGCTAAACTATACAATCGTCTCGCCGGCACGCGCGTTAACGTTTAAAATAATACTTTGATACTTTCGCGTCTTACAACCTAGAAATAAACTCGTTAATATTTTATACATACATATATATACGTATATGTCGAGTTATCGCTACGCCTCGCGATCGCGCTCGTTGTTTCTGTATGTACAGCTTTTACGTAGCCGTCAGAGACTCGTGGCTTTCGCGCTGTTGTGGACTAGATTATACTCTGTTATTCCAATTAAATAGAATAATAAATAATGCAAAAATAAAACATACGTATAAATAAAAATTCGGTATCGTGCGATACCTGCGACTCGAAACGACACCGATAACCGGACCGTGCGGATTTTTAACGCGCTCGCGAGAGAAACGATAATGCGATAATTTTGTGAAAAACACAAAACAACAACAACAACAACAACAACAACAATGTCGGAAGAATGTAACTCGAATTACAATTTTCAATTTGATCGAATAACATATTTTATAAAATTGAGATCGTAGCGTGCCAGTGAAAGTGTTGGCAGAGATAAAATATATCGTTGTTCGACTTCTGTTTCTCGAAATTAACCGTACCATAAGTTTCGATCGCAAAAGCTCGTCGGTATCGTTTCGAATCGTACGATCGAAGCGTACGCTTAAAGCTAAACCCAGTAAAAAAATAAATAACAATTAACCGTAATATCATTAAGTACGATAACGTTGTTCCCGTATTCGTTTTGTCGAGCCGATAGAAACTCGATCTTTGTCGGAGCGTCGACGCGACAGGGAAATAAGAAATTTCTATTCAATTCGGAAGGAAAACTTCTCGCCAATGGATAACGATCGACGCGAATTTTGTATTTTTGGAAGCATGCTCGACGACAACGAATACTAGAACGATCTCTGCGAGTACACGGTTCAGGATTTCGGGATGTAAGCCGTATTCTTTTCGATAAATTCTACCAACGGCTCGTTAATTTACATTCGAAATCGTGAACCGAGCAACAGCGAGTTACAAAAAGCTTCGAATTATTATACTTTCTAGAAATTGTATAGAATCGTGCGTACGCAAACTAAAAACGCGTGAGACGCGTAAAATCCGCGTTCCGGCAAGTCATTTTAAAGCATACCCTTTGACTAGAAATGAAAAAGTAAACGGTAGAAGCGATAAATCAATTTTACGGGCATAACTATGTACACGTACACGCGTTAAATTCCAATGGAGCACCAAAACGATACGAACACACACGATTATTGTTCCTACGGTATTTGTACGTTTGGGAAGCGAACGAATGTTTCATGCGCGCGATCAAATGAATGTTATAGTACGAAACGTATTTACCGAGACTAGCTGCGAAAATGGTACGTAGTACGAGGAATATCGAATCGTCGAATATAAATTGTCCAAGTAAAATAGCCGAGATCGGTTTGAACGATGAAAGATCGCGACATACGTACCGTTAAGAGCGATTACGCGTCCATGCGTACGGCGACTACGCCGATCGGTGCCGCTATCCGGATACAGATACTTCGATCTCCTTAACTATCTTTGATATTTAGCTGTACGACAGACTCCGATCGCTCGGGTCGATGAATTAAATCTATACGATACACGCAGCATACGTACCTACGCCTATTCTTACGAAACAGATTGTCGCATCGGTTCGAGCGAAACGCATACGCGCTGCAGCAGCAGCACGAACAAGTACGGCTCGATATGTACACGCACAGTCGTTCTCGGCCCACCTCTTCTCCACGCTATTTACATACCTATTTACATCGCACGCAACACCGTGTTAACCTTGTTGTTTCGGCTGTTCCGATTTTACGCGAATTTCGATCTCGAGTCACCGGATATTTTCGTTGAACGCGTCGCGATTCGATCGCGGAGATGATTATTGTCTCTCAAATTTATGAAACGATCGAAACGATCGAAACGATCGAAACGATCGAGACGATCGAAACGATCGAAACGATCTCTCTAAATTCGACTCGCGCGCTTATCCGATCCTGTTAAGAATATCGCTTCGACCTGTTAACCGAACGATCTCGATGGTGGACAGTAGATGGTGGTCACCATCTATTTTTTATCTTGTGCTACCGTTTCAAGAAGGACTATTCGGATACTATTTTCGAGATAAATATCGTTTCACGATTATTTCCAACGCTCGATCGACGCATCGCTTGCCACGCGTTTCGCGAGCAAACACGTTCAAGTTTTCGGTAAGAGAAGGTTCTCCGAGCGCGAAGGGCCCGCCGCGAAGGGTCCGCCGCGAAGGACCGTTCCGGAACGCGGAGCAAACGCTGACGCGATCGAACGAGACCGAGAAGAGACCCGAAAAGAGACCCGAAAAGAGATCCGCCGGGGGTTAAATGTAAAACAGGCGTATGAAACGGAACCGTAAGAACGCGGAGAGACGCGAGCGTTTAGAGGTCAAGACCGAACCTCCAGTAGATGCCTGGCCTCCGCGGTAAAGGTCGCGCAGGGAATTCGTGTCAGGGCATTTCGGCGTTCAACGAGCTGCTGGAAACTATCTGAACGATGTCGGCCTTACCCGGAGATCCTTGACCGTCCATGGAGACGCCGTTGCTGTTACCGCTGCTGGTGCCGCCGCCGTTGTTGTTGTTGCCGTTGTTGGTCTCGGGATGCTGCGCGGTCAGGTGCTTCCTGAGAGCGGCCTGCCTGGTGAACTTGGCGTCGCACCTGGTGCAGGGAATTTCGATGCCGGCGACGGACGACGGGTGGTCCCCGTTGGCCAGCCTCGGCTTGTGCCAGCGCCGGTGGGACGCCAGGTTGGCCGGGCACGAGAACCTCTTGTCGCACTCCGGACATCTGTACTCGACGTGCGCTATCCTCGAGCACCTGTGCTGGGCCAATTGGAAAGCGTCCTCGTGTAGCTGCCGGCAGAGCTTGCACTGATACGGGCCCAGCCGGTTCTCGATCTTGGCGAGCTCCGCCCGCGCCTCCTCGGTGACTTCGACGATGTTGAAGGCCGGATCGATGTCGCCGGTGACCACGGCCTCGTCCGGGCCCAGGATCACGGTCCCGGAGACCGGGCTGCTGGTGTCCTCGTCGAATTTCAGCCTGCGAGCGTGCTTCTTCTTGGGCCCCTGCGCGAGCTTCTCGGCGGGGCCGCCGGCCCTGGAGCCGGTGCTCGTCGTCGAGCCGCTGCCGACCGACGACGCCGGGCTGCAGTCCTCCTCCCTGATCTTCCTTCTGGGACACTGCGGCGGCGACGGCGTGCTCGGCGGGGTCATCGGCGCGTGCTGCATCCCGTGCAAGTGATGCGGAGGCGTCAGAAGCTGCTGCCGAAGCTGCTGGTAGTGCTGGACAGATTGCTGCAGCTGGCTCGGACTCGCGAGCACGTTCAGCTTCTGGCCGTGCGCGTAATAGGACTTTGCGGCGACCTCGCCGATCGCGCCGATCGCGTCGATCGCGCCGAACGGCATCAGACGAGCAGCTTCTTCGAGCGAGCAAAGCTTCTCGCTCGGCTCCTGCTGCAGCTGCGACGGCAGAGACGGCAGAGGCGGCAGAGGCGGCGGCAGCGGCGGCGGCTGTTCCTTCTTCGACGGCAACTCGTAGCTCGAGTGACTGTTCACCGAAGAGCATCGCGGGATCGCGTCGAAGTCGTCGACCACCAGCGAACCACCGGTGTTGTTGTCGTCGGTGGCCGGCCCGTACCTGGCCCGATCCTCCGACTCGGTCCGCGACTCGTCCCCGATCTTCCGATCCTTCTTGGCCTCCGAGTCGACCGAGTCCTCGGATTTCGGCGCGCGCGCCGCCGGCGATGATTTCAACGACAAGTCCAAGGGGCACGGGGTCGAGGATCTGGACATGTCCCACGTTTGGAGAACGTGGTGCTCGGAGACCCTCGAGTAGCTCGAAAGGTTCTCCATGGGAATGTGCCAGGTAGCGGGCGCGCCGTACGGATGCTGATGGATCTCGTCGCCATAGTAGCCCATGTAATTCAGTCCGGGAGCAAGGAACGCCCGCGGCAAAGAGCTGTGCAACATATCGACGGCCGACGTGCGACGCTCGACGGGTCACGGCTTGGCTCGAAATTGTTCTCGAACGGACCACGCGTTCGAGGCCTCGTCAACGGTTCTCCATGTTTCCGAGGGCCGCGACGCGCGCCGCGGATCACAGCCTCGCCGACGATTCCGAGATAGCCTCGTCCGCACGACCAACGAACGTTCGAGGATTCCGTCGAACGACGATCCGAGTCTCCGTGTTCACTCACAGGGCCCCCCGACGTCGTTCGTCGTTGCTTCTCGGGGAAACGGGCGTGCACTACCTTCTCCCTCGACGGCCGGACGCCGTTTGACGGAAGGTCGCCAGCACCGAGTCGGGTATATTTGAAAGCTCCACCCGGGAACGCGTTATTATCGCGAACCCGATTGGTCGGCCGACCTCCAGCCCCCATCTCCCACCACCGAATGTCGCTGCCACCACTACTCTCGAATTCTGGCGCGTGCTCGTGTAAACGTTCGCCGCCCCGTCGCGTCGCGTCGACCGCGTAACGAACGTCGCGGGGGTTGTTGCTGCTGCTGCACCCGCGGACACCGGCCGCGACGTCCGCGACCCAGCTATCCGGAGGTACCCTCGTTCGACGTCTTTTTCGGCTCTTCCTTCCGCCCTATCGTCCCGCGCGCACGATTCCAAGGCGCTTTCTAATTATCCGGCCGGCTTCGGTCGCCGAAGGAAACCCGATGGTTGTCTCGACGGCCTGCAACGATCGGGCGTTGCAACGGGAAACGAAATCGTACGTCGACCTATCCTATTCGCAATTAATCGAGCTCGCGATTCTCCAAAGACGAGACCGTTGTCGTTAAATTCTATGGACGCGTCTGTGCGCGTGTAAACCATGCAAATGTAACCGCATAGAGGAATGCGGGGTGAACCGGGGGCGCGGATTTGTTTCTGCCGCCTTTCGATTTTCCAAAAGCGGGGAAATTCCACGTTTTATCCCACGGGTAGGCTAACATGGAATAGAAAATATTCGACTAAGCTAAACGACGATTAGAAATTGCAACGATGCGACGCGGCGAAACTGTAAATTTTCTGCAAATCGATTCGCAGCTTCTATGCAAATTTGGAGATTAGGAAGCAAATCGGAGATGCTGCGAGTTTCCGATTCCAAAGCCAGTACATCGTAATCTCTTGATCTCCTTACTTAACGAGTTGCGGAGTATGTTCGATTAATCGTCGTAAATAATTTCACAGCACTGATGGACTCGCGGTGGAACAGGAGCATGCTCCGTCGGCGATGTCAGCGGACCGAAACGTGTGAACGCGCAGAGGCTGTAGCCGATTTCCGCGGTTAATCTTCACCCTTGGGAACTCTTTGGTCCGGACAATCCCGCTGGCCCTAATTGGACGAGAGGTCGTTCGAGTCTCGTCGAGACGTTCGACCGTTCCGTCGGAGGAACGACAATCAGCAATCAAGGAAATCGTCGATGAGTTGATCGCCGAAGATCGGAGACGAGTGTCACCGAAACACCGAACTTCGATCCGCTTTTCCGTAAGAAAATGTTCGGTATGGGGTGACCGAATTCGGTGAACCAACCCTCGAGCCGAAACGATCGTTCGCAAATCGTAAAAATTCATTTCTACTCGATTCCCGTTTCTCAGGATCGACGTAGGAAATTTTTATTTCGACGAAGATTGTTCGAAGATTATCTCATTTTACCTTCAACCGGTGGAGTACCTCGCTTTCACGTCTTACTTGGTCACCGCTCGAACTTTAAGTTTATCTTTTTATCAACGCGATACTTTTAGCCGTCGCGGTAAATCTTGGTGCGGAGCAAATATTATTTTTCTTTCTCTTCTAGGACGTTGCGAAGAGCGTGGAAGTTCCGATCAACCTTTCTATGGAATATAATCGAGATTCCTATTTTATATTTAATTAATTGCAAATCGTTGTCGCGTCGAGCTTTTCCGACGATAAAAATGACATTCTTGTTAAGTTTTTAAGACGATATCCCATCGACGATCGTCGAAGTCCCTTTCGTAGTCGGCGCATTTATACTCGGACAATCGACCCTTCCAGTGGTACCAGGTACAAGTAGAACGGCCTTTTATCCCCTGCTTCGTCTCTTCCGTTGTTCTAAAAACAATCTTACCTCGAGAGAGAGAGAGAGAGAGAGAGAGAGAGAGAGAGAGAGAGAACGAGAAGAGTACGCGTAGCACGGATTTCACGCTGGGAGCCCATAATTAGCCGTAGCCACGCGGAAACGCGGCGGTTCAAAATTTCATACCCAACGTAATCAGTCTATCGACGAAAGGAACGAAAACAAACGGTGAATGATCCATTATTACGTCCAAACATCGCGCGGACTAATACCGCTTGCGGTGGACGTAAAATATAGGTATTAACGTGGGATAAGTCGGTCGATACGGATTTGCCATGATTATTTGATGCTCCGTGAAACATTTTACCACGCGTTGCACTCTCCGCTTCCGGCTACGTGTGCATGAACACCTGAAAACACCGCGTTACGTGTTCGATCCTCGAATTACAAAACCCTAGAACCTCGATTCACCATAACATTTGGCTCGATACCGCGAACCGGTGCGCGGTGGTCGTTCTCTCGATGGTGCTGGCGATGGTANGTACGTCGACCTATCCTATTCGCAATTAATCGAGCTCGCGATTCTCCAAAGACGAGACCGTTGTCGTTAAATTCTATGGACGCGTCTGTGCGCGTGTAAACCATGCAAATGTAACCGCATAGAGGAATGCGGGGTGAACCGGGGGCGCGGATTTGTTTCTGCCGCCTTTCGATTTTCCAAAAGCGGGGAAATTCCACGTTTTATCCCACGGGTAGGCTAACATGGAATAGAAAATATTCGACTAAGCTAAACGACGATTAGAAATTGCAACGATGCGACGCGGCGAAACTGTAAATTTTCTGCAAATCGATTCGCAGCTTCTATGCAAATTTGGAGATTAGGAAGCAAATCGGAGATGCTGCGAGTTTCCGATTCCAAAGCCAGTACATCGTAATCTCTTGATCTCCTTACTTAACGAGTTGCGGAGTATGTTCGATTAATCGTCGTAAATAATTTCACAGCACTGATGGACTCGCGGTGGAACAGGAGCATGCTCCGTCGGCGATGTCAGCGGACCGAAACGTGTGAACGCGCAGAGGCTGTAGCCGATTTCCGCGGTTAATCTTCACCCTTGGGAACTCTTTGGTCCGGACAATCCCGCTGGCCCTAATTGGACGAGAGGTCGTTCGAGTCTCGTCGAGACGTTCGACCGTTCCGTCGGAGGAACGACAATCAGCAATCAAGGAAATCGTCGATGAGTTGATCGCCGAAGATCGGAGACGAGTGTCACCGAAACACCGAACTTCGATCCGCTTTTCCGTAAGAAAATGTTCGGTATGGGGTGACCGAATTCGGTGAACCAACCCTCGAGCCGAAACGATCGTTCGCAAATCGTAAAAATTCATTTCTACTCGATTCCCGTTTCTCAGGATCGACGTAGGAAATTTTTATTTCGACGAAGATTGTTCGAAGATTATCTCATTTTACCTTCAACCGGTGGAGTACCTCGCTTTCACGTCTTACTTGGTCACCGCTCGAACTTTAAGTTTATCTTTTTATCAACGCGATACTTTTAGCCGTCGCGGTAAATCTTGGTGCGGAGCAAATATTATTTTTCTTTCTCTTCTAGGACGTTGCGAAGAGCGTGGAAGTTCCGATCAACCTTTCTATGGAATATAATCGAGATTCCTATTTTATATTTAATTAATTGCAAATCGTTGTCGCGTCGAGCTTTTCCGACGATAAAAATGACATTCTTGTTAAGTTTTTAAGACGATATCCCATCGACGATCGTCGAAGTCCCTTTCGTAGTCGGCGCATTTATACTCGGACAATCGACCCTTCCAGTGGTACCAGGTACAAGTAGAACGGCCTTTTATCCCCTGCTTCGTCTCTTCCGTTGTTCTAAAAACAATCTTACCTCGAGAGAGAGAGAGAGAGAGAGAGAGAGAGAGAGAGAGAGAGAACGAGAAGAGTACGCGTAGCACGGATTTCACGCTGGGAGCCCATAATTAGCCGTAGCCACGCGGAAACGCGGCGGTTCAAAATTTCATACCCAACGTAATCAGTCTATCGACGAAAGGAACGAAAACAAACGGTGAATGATCCATTATTACGTCCAAACATCGCGCGGACTAATACCGCTTGCGGTGGACGTAAAATATAGGTATTAACGTGGGATAAGTCGGTCGATACGGATTTGCCATGATTATTTGATGCTCCGTGAAACATTTTACCACGCGTTGCACTCTCCGCTTCCGGCTACGTGTGCATGAACACCTGAAAACACCGCGTTACGTGTTCGATCCTCGAATTACAAAACCCTAGAACCTCGATTCACCATAACATTTGGCTCGATACCGCGAACCGGTGCGCGGTGGTCGTTCTCTCGATGGTGCTGGCGATGGTACTGCGGTGATCGTGCCGGTGCCGGTGCCGGTGCCGGTGCCGGTGCTGATTCTGCCGATCCCGACGACGATGCGACGATGCGACGATGCGCGAAACACGGGCTTGCCCAAGAAGCGCATCGATCAACGTTACAAAACCGTCCCATCGTTTTGCTCGAATGTCGAGCAAATGGTAAAAAGTCGTCGTTCCTCTTCGGAGGTTTTTCTTGTTCTTTTTTCAGTCCGGGCGTTCCTTCTAAATTCACGCGAAAGAGAGGAGCGAGGCGACTTCCAAGCAAGACCGGCGAGCTTTTTGCTTGCGCGGATGTCGACGAGTACTCCCGCATCCGCTGGTATGGAGGGAGCGAGTGGGTGGCTCTCTACATATTTGATGCGATTTTAATGTCTCTGCCCGGCATATCCGCGTCCCGTGCACCAATAGCACCAGGAACACTAGCCTGCCGCACGAAGCAGGAGTGACTGCCGTGATGCTCTAATCGGCTTACGCAACAAGCCACCCTTATCCCGAGTTCCCATCACAGCCCCGAGCGCCCTCGCCTCCGATCCGCCGCCTCCGATCCACCGCCTCCAACGACGGCTGTTACTTTGCGGTTAGACGCTAACTTTGCTACCTGCATTTTTTTTCTTTACGCGCCCTTCCGGCACACCGTCGTTTCCCTGTCGCATGTCGCCCAAAATCGCAGATTAAACTGGACCCATTGCGGAAACGCTTTCCAGAGAGTACAACGTTCTCGTCGATTTTATTGCAACTGTCGAAAGCGTTGTCCTTGAATATTTCTACCGTTGTTATACATATAAATCATTATTGTAAAGAAATGTAAATTTGCAATTGGAGCCCGTTCGCGAGGAAAAGTATCGAACCGAGCAAACGCCGTTTCGAACGGTTACCACTGCATTTCAATGAATTTCCTCGTATCGAAACGATAAGCTGTACGTTGTAGTATACGCGAAACAATTTCTGGATATTTAACATTTAAATTCATCGGTGCACCAAGTATCCTATTTTTAGCGTATAATCGGGTAGCGGATAGAGGTGTACGCGCAGCGTACGCGTCCGCGTGGTACTGCACGACGGAATCGCCCTAGGCAAGGACGCGCATTATTGGGTAGAATTACATTAAACAAACATCCAATATATCTGTCTCTCCCTCGTGTCGAATGCCTTTTTGTCAAAATTCGCGTATAGACGCGCGCGACTAGTCGCTTCGTACAAAACTCGAATATATATTTCGATTTACATCGATAAATATTATCGAGTTCGTAACATTTTATTTATATAAATATTTCTTTACAGCATACTTATATACATATGTATAATTATCAAAAACGTCCATGCGCCAATGAGTTATTTAATCTCTATGTACATTAAAATCTAATTGTTAAAAACATATACATGTATATATTTGTGTATCGTAAAGACATATTACGCATCAACTTTTTCCTCTTACTTCGCAGCGTTCGCTTTCCGTTTTCCAATGGTTTCCGTAGTTGTTTCTTCTGCCGTATCGATGTGCGTGAAAACAAAATTTTTGGCATTTTTCGACAGCACTGGCGCATCCTTTTGTCTTGCCAAAACAGCTAGACGCGCCAGGGTCTCTTCTCCCCTCGCGAGAATCGAACGCTTCCGCAGGACCTTCTAAAAGTATACGAAATTGTAAATCATTTTTATCGTAAGAATCGTTTGATCGTTGGTAAACGCAATTTTGATCGTGAAAACTTACATGAATCACGCGAGAATTTCCTTTTAAATCTGAACTATTCAACATCTCCGCTACGGTGTGAGGCATTCTTGTTTCGGCTGCGGAAACCGACGAATCCAGCAACGTATTTTCCGTTTGATTTCCGTCGATACGCCTCTTCTTCAAGATTTTCATACCAAATTTAAATATTTGACTGTTGTTCAAATCACTCTCGATTTCGGTGTCCACGTTAATCTACGAGCGTAACATTTTTAATGCATGGTTCTAAGTATTCGCTTAAAATCGTTCGAATCTACCGAACGATTGGATTATTTTTTATCCAAACGTTTGACCGGCAAAACACTTTACCATCTTTTCCGCTAAAAACTTCTCTCTCTCGTGTCTTATTTTCCGCCATTTTGCTTCGTCTTCTTCGTCCGATAAATCGACGCAACCGTCTTTGTCTTCGCACGGTTGCGATTGATCGTTGGCATCTTGTTTATCTGGAAATGATCATTTTTTTTCTTTTAAATTAGCTTTGTTTTCAGAAAAAAACATTTGTTGGTAAATAAATTTTCACGCATCCAACATACTTATATTTTTCCACTTGAACTTTCGTTCTCGGCCGCTTTCGCTGAACAAATCGCCCTCCTCGAATAATAATTCCTTGAGTATCCGCACTTCTTTCTGATCCTCGTCTAATAACTGTTTCATATGAAGTTTACCCAACTGATTTTTCACTTGTGTCTCGTCGATTTCTTCGTCATCCCCTTCTTCCAATTCCAAGTCATCCATATCCTCTTCATCTTCGTCCGCGGACACGTCGCAGTCGCAGTCGCTCTCGCTGAGTTCAGCTTCGTTTTCCAAAAACGTGGCAGCATATTGTTTTATGCTTTTCTTTGGAACAACAACCTCGTTCTCCTCCGAATCGTAATCTATAAATTTGTCTTCGTCGCATTCGCTTCGGATATCGTCGCCGCTGGATACCGAACATTCGTTTTCTTCCTCGTCATCGGATAACTCTAATCTCGTTACTTTTTTCTTCGTTCGATTCGAAATTTCTTGCATCGTCGAATCTTCATCCTCGTCGTCGGTATTCGACGAAACGCTTGACTTCTCTCTAGAATCATAGTTTCCCTTTAGTTGTTCGCGGATAGCGTCTCCGTTAGTGGATACAGAGTTCCTTTTCGTTGGTGATTCTTGCAAATTTTTCTCCAAATTTTCACTGTCCGGTAGGTTCCCACCTGCCGTTGCATCTGGCAATTTTGCATAATCAAGACTCATACCTGGCTCGCAGGTCATGAACTTACCAGAACACAGTTCCATCAGTTCATCTTCCATTATATCATTTTGATCGGTAAAAAATAGTTTTTTAGGCATCGTTGGTCGACTATCCGAACCGCACTGTTGCGATAATTCACCAATTCGAGGACTTTCTATCAAATTGGGATTAGACTCTTCTACCAACGATTCTTCTCTGATCGGAGTCATCTGTCTTAAATCCTCTAGACGCGAACTCAACGCAGTTAATTGCGTCGCGGGAGAAACAAAACTAAAATTATTAGTTTTTCTAATTACCGGTGTACGATTCAGTTTATGTTCCAAATCATTTTCAACGTGTGCCTGAGAAACTGGAATGTCCTTTTCATTCTCGCTTGGGCTTTCGTGAAACATGTCCGAATGCGTCGTTGTCGATGATAAACGTTTTTCGTTATCCATATTTGCAGCAACTTCGTTATTCAACGTATCACAGGATCGTGAATCATCTTCTATGGGTTCTACAATTCGTCTAAACGATTTACGTTTTACATCGATGCTATCGCAGGTACTGCTTTCGTCGTCTTCTAAAATAAAACTTTCCTCGTCTTTTTCCACATTTTCATCCTCATCCTCGTCTTCATCCTCGTCTATAATTCCATCCTGCTCGTCTATTTCATCGTCGCTAACGTCCGCTTCATCGTCTACAAATTCACATTTACGTCTTTTCTTTTCTTTCTTTTCATACATATCATCCTCTTCCAATTCATCCTCCTCGCTTTCGTATGTCGCAATACTTGGCAATTTGCTAAACTTGTCTCCCTCGTCGAAAGTCTCGTTCCATTCTATCTCATGTTCCTTCATCTCCTGTTCTTTTTCCTTCCACTCTTCATCGCGCTTCAGTGCTATTTTCTCTTTTAATTCTTGCTTCAAGAGCAACAATTTCGCTCCAGGTTTTTGTAACTTGGGATCCATTTTCTCGGAATTTTTAGGTTTATACGGCAGTGTCTCTTTAACTTCGATCGATGATCCATCAGGAGATTCTATCATTTGCGTTACCGTCACTTTCGATGTATCGTTTGCTGCATTTTTTATTTTCGAATGCTTGTATACAAACCTGTCTAGGAAGGCGTTTATTGGATTTTTATTTGGTTTCGTGTCACCTGTTAAATCGATCACTGTACCTGGCGCGCCTCTTAATTTAGGAGTTGTATTTCGCGTTCTTGATAATGTTTTTTTCTCGTTAGCCTTTGGAGTAATATCCAACTTCGGTGGTGATAGGCCGTATTCGTTGTATTCATCCGACTCTTCTGCAGTTATCCCTAGTGATTGTTTTACCATTTTCGCATAGTCGATAACGTTGGAACTAGACTCATTCGAAGAGTCGTCATCGGTCCGTAAATTATATTTCTCATTCTCACATTTTCCTTGCGGACTTTTCTTCGCCGTATTTATTTCATTATCTTTATTTTCAATGATTTCATCTTGTAATATGGTATCTCCTTCCTTACAAGATTCTTCAACCTCATTTGTAATTTTAGGTAAAATATGTTCATTAGCATTCTCTGTAGCAGTAGTATCGCAATTACTTTTCAATGTTTCTAACTCCTCTATTCGCACCGTATCAATTTCCATTGGTGAACAATTTTTTGTTTCATTTATTTCTGTAATATTACCATTCGCTTCGTGCATTACGCTTGTGTTATCGTCTTCTTTACTATTTACAGGCAACTCGTCGCAGACGAACAATTTTTTTGGGACAACTTCTTTCTTAGTTTTTTGTATATATTCTGCATCGGCTACCACCGATTGACTTTCTGTTATTTCTTCTTCAGAATCGGAAGATTTGTAAAATGTTTCAGCTTCTTCCTCTTTTTCTTTCAGTGCTTTACTATTTAGTAAAAAGAAATACAAAATTTAATAATTATTTATTAAACTTAAGTACTAAAACTCATCATGTTAATAAATTTACATCGCAAAATTACTTACTCGATAATAGCGGATGAAATTTTTAATTTAGCTGCCATTGTTGGAGCTTTCGGAAGAGCTGACAGTACTTTTCTTCTATTTAAAAACTCCTCTAATGTTCTCTGCTTTGGTCTGTGGTAAGGAAGAGAAACTTCAGTTTCTCTTAGTAGTCGTTGAGTTTCGCTTTGTATATGTTTCATAGCCTCTTCTTTACTAGCTCTCAATGATACCTAAAATTTATTACACCGGTATATTTTAAAAAACGTAATGTATAAAAAAATTTAATTATTGACATTTCATAGTTGATATACTTTTCTCTTCGAGGATTCACCATGTTCCTTTTGCTGTTTGGGTTCTTTGCCTTCCACGCGATCCAAATGCGTTTCATTTATTTCTTCTTCTTCCGTGTCCGAATCTATCAGAGTTCGAAATCCAGTTTGTGCCTGTGTGTAAGATACATATTTGAATAATTATCTCCAACAATTAAATTATCTGTTTACTATTTATAATCGCTAATTAATATATTTCAAACCTTTTCTTCATTCAAAATTCTTTCTGTATTGCTCTTATTTAAGCTTACATACGTATCATCGTCGGTATCGCTATCAAAAAGTTTTTTAGAACTTTTTTCATTTGAATGTTTTTTATCTTCAAAAAGATTATTAAGACTAGTAATTTCTTTTGTCTTTGAATTAAATGTATCTTCATCCTCAGAGTCGCTGTCTATTATCCTTGAAAATTTTTTAACATTTTTAACTACTTGTAATTCTTCATTCTCTGCTATAGAATCTTCTTCTTCATTTCTTTCATTTGTTTCTTCCGCGTTAAAAATAGTTGAGTTTGCGTTATCAGTGCAATCATTATTGACTACAACAGATGTTTTTGACACTTCCTCGATAGGATTTTCAACCTCTTTACTAGACTCATTTTCTATACATTTATCTACTTCATTAGACTCCTTGTCAGTCTTTGCATCATCAAGACCACTGTTTTCACTCATTTTTGCAGAAAATTCTATATATTCCTATTCATTTATATTTATTCAATCTATCAGAAGCTTTAAAAATCCTCATATATAGTTTTATGTACAATTTGTATTTTAATATTTAAATATATAATTCCTATAATAATACATGTATTTATTAATATTTTAAAATTTTCATATCAAAAACCAATGCGACTGCGTATCAATTAAAATTATTAATTTTTAATAATAAGCAATCATACTATTTAAATTTACAACATTATAGATCTTGCTGTCACGAAATTTCACAAAGATCACTGACAAATTTGGCGCGAAAGTATCACGCCAAGGATCACGCCATTAATTATTGAGATACAATAGAGAAGAAACAACACGAATTTTACTAGAAATAAAACACCTGTTGGAATGTATAGGGATTTATTTACGGTAAGTTTTCATAGTGATTCATGACTTTTCGTGAATGCTTTTGATTGGTGGAGAATACAATTATTCTTTACATGCGTCTGCAAATCATTGTTCAGTCAATAAGAATGGGCTATGCAGTAATACCTCAGTATTTTGCACAATTTTTCTACCTCTTTCAGCCACTATTTCCAGTCACTTTCAACCTCTTCTGCTACTAATTGGTATCACTGTATTTAGTTCACTAGCTAACCGTTCCATTTTCTACAGAGTTGGTAATTCAGACTCTAAGACAGAAAAAAGCATTGCATGCAACGTCTACACGAATCTTAAGTCTATGGTATAGATGTCGGGATTATCGTGCAGAAATTGAAAGTCAAGACATCTATCAAGCTGTCTTGTATTTTCGGTTCATAGTAGTTGGTCGATAGATCAAATTGTTGACGTATTTTTATGACAGTTCGCGACAGTGTCAAAGTTGCAATTAAGAAAAGCACTACACCCGTAATAATCTTTTGCAATGCATAGATCTAATCACAATATAATAAGGTAGTTTATAAGCTTCTCTATTTGTTCACAGGCATGATTACGATGGGTGAACCGCTCACTTTAGCAAATGGTAAATTTCGATGAATTTCTATAACAATTTTTTTAATAATACAATAGTTCCAATCTATGACAACAATGTAATTAATTATGAAGTATAAAGGATACTAACTTTTTTGGTTCTTTTCTACAGACGTTAAAAGATCTATCGAGTTATTAGACAAATTGCAGAAAGGTAATAATCTACATAAGTAATCATTTCCTCGTAATGTTGTTGATTTGATTTATTTTCTTATATAAAAATAAAAGTATGCGATACTGCTATGTGCAAAATTTTCTTTATTATTAAGATAATAATTTATATTCTTTATTATTAAGATTGATATTATCGTATGTATCATCGTTATAGGGGGTGAAGTACCTGCAACAAAATTAGCTGCCTTACAAAAAGTTTTACAGAGCGACTTTCTCAGTGCTGTACTTGAAGTATACGAGCATGTATACGAAACATCCGATATCGAGGTATTATAAGTGTACATGTATATAGTATAAATTATTTGATGAAATCTTAACGCCAATTAGTCGTTCCAGGCATCTCAAGATGTTCGTGCGTCGGCTACAGCAAAAGCGACGGTTGCTGCTTTTGCTGCAAGCGAAGGTCATGCGCATCCAAGAATCGTAGAGTTACCAAAAACCGAAGAAGGTCTTGGATTTAACGTAATGGGAGGCAAAGAACAAAATTCACCCATTTACATTTCAAGAATTATTCCTGGAGGTGTTGCCGATCGTCATGGTGGTCTAAAACGAGGCGACCAACTTCTTTCAGTGGATGGAGTAGTTAGTATAAAAATAGAAAGCCCGATATATTTTACTAGTTATGTAATTTTATACTTTATTTTTCAGTGCGTCGAGGGTGAAAATCATGAAAAAGCAGTGGAATTACTAAAACAAGCGCAAGTTTCTGTAAAACTGGTTGTGCGTTATACTCCTCGAGTTCTGGAAGAAATGGAATTACGGTTTGACAAGCAACGAGCAGCTCGTAGTAGACGCCAACAGATGCAATAAGAAAAAGTATATTACATGTGATTACATCTTTCCTAACAAATGAATTACATATGTATTATCACCACCTTAATTTCATCTCTTTATTATCTATAAACCATAACAATTTCATGTGTTCTTTAATAGTACAATATTTAATTTAATAGTTTATACAAATTTTATCGTTATTCTAATATTATTAGACTGTCTCTTACGTCTTAAAATATGAATACACATGTTATAGAATGTTAAGAAATATTTAAAATGAAAAATAAACTGTTTCTTTTTATTCGAACTTTATTGATTAACCATTACTGTATGTGTTTTTTTACTAAGAAAAATGCTGTTAAGCCTTACTTTAAAAAATGCCTAAAAAATATTCTTCTTAGAAACCCAAAATATTAAATATTTTAACAGCCGTTTAAACTTGTTGGGGTTTGTTACGCCTTTACTTGACATCCAATCCGCAGTGAATCATCAGCCAATCAAAGCAACCAAAATTTCTATATTGACTCTCGCTAATGGATCAAGCTGTTAGCAAGGGTCGGTATAGAAATTTTCTTTGCTCTAATTGGCTGACGATTTACTGCTGAAACAGGATCTACTGCTGATTGGATGTGTAATAAAATGGTGGGGATGTGCGCGCCAGCTTAGGGAGTAAAAAAGTGTACAGGTATATAAGTTCTACTACTACATAATGATTTAATTTCATATTCCACCACTTGGGCGCGGTATATACATATATATATTTTCGTGGACTCTATCATTATAAATCGAAGTCGGGTGGACTTTAAACCAATTGAAAATTTTGCTGTCTCATTTCGAATCATATAAAGGTTTATATAAAGGCCTAAAACAAGCGAGAACATTACTTCTTAATTTGCCCTCCGCAAAAATGACGAGATCAGAGGAGTTACGTTTTGATGGCCGTGTTGTTGTGGTAACAGGAGCAGGAGCAGGTAATTGACATAACTGTATTACTTAATATCTGGTATTTTATTTGTTTATTTAAATTTACTGTTTAGGACTGGGTCGAGCATATGCTCTTCTTTTTGCTTCAAGAGGTGCCAGTGTTGTCGTAAATGATTTAGGTGGAGGACGACACGGCGATGGAAGTAGTACCAAAACTGCAGATACAGTTGTTGAAGAAATCAAAAGAAATGGTTGTATATCATATTCTGAAAACTTAATGACATAACTTTACTTATAACTTAGTTTTAGTGGATATATTATGCACTTGATATTCTTGTACCTTGTTATCTCTGATACGAAGTCTTAATGTAAGAAAGTAATCTTATCTTTAATTAACGTGTGTGTATCTGTAATTAATGTGTGTTAATATTGATAAGTACCTATAAAATTTTACAGGGAACTTTGAAAGAAACTTTTATATTATCTATATTTGCAGAAAATAGAGAAAATATTATGAAGAAATATGTCTTACATGTAGTAAGATAATTATATATACATATAATGTCAATATTGTAATTATTTTTTGAATAGATACTGTTTCTAATTTAAATTTCTTTACAGGTGGAAAGGCAGTTGCCAATTATAATTCTGTCCTCGATGGTGCAAAAATCATCAAAACAGCTATCGATACTTTCGGACGAGTGGATGTAGTAGTCAATAATGCTGGAATTCTCAGGGACAAATCATTTGCAAAAATGTCAGATACCGATTGGGGTTCGTATATCATTGTATTATCGATCATATTTTTCAAAATCAAGAAACACGAATAAGTATATTTAATATAAGAATATATCAATTTGTTTGTAGATTTGATACAAGATGTTCATTTGAAAGGAGCATATAAAACTACTCAAGCCGCATGGCCTTACTTCATTAAACAAAATTATGGTCGCGTGATAATGACGACAAGTAACAGTGGACTATATGGTAACTTTGGACAATCGAATTACAGTTCAGCAAAAATGGCCCTTGTTGGTTTAGCTAATACATTAGCTATAGAGGGTGGGAAAAGAAACATATATACAAATGTTATAGTACCAACTGCCGTATCTCGTTTAACAGAAGACATTATGCCACCAGGTTAATAATACATTTTAATACTATACTACATCGTGTTTTATGTACATAATTTTTATATTTGTATGCCTAGACTTTCTTGACCATTTAAAACCTGAATTGATAGCTCCGGTAGTAGTCTGGTTATGTCATGATAAGTGTACAGAGAATGGTTCCATTATCGAGTCTGCATTAGGATGGGCTGGAAAATGTAAGTACATGAATTATTATCGCTTGAGTAATTTGTAAATTGTTAATTTATGATTTACGATTTTAAAGGTCATTTAGTTCGTGCATCAGGATCCACTTTAAGGCAAAGTTTATCCCAGGATGTCACTCCGGAAGATGTTGAACAAAACTGGGCAGCTGTTACTAACATGTCGTCTGCCAAACATTTTGATAGTATCGAGGTATACGAAATATGTTCTACTTTAGATAAATTTATTGGTTTAACAAATTGTTGTATATCTCATTCTGTATTTTAAAGCATGTAACAGGACAGTTTATGACTGCGATAGAAGAAATGAAATCTGGAAATACTAACAATGGAAATTCAACACAGGTAATGAAATATATATTTTTTTTTTTTTTTTCATAAAAAATGAGTAATGACATTATTTATTACGATTTATTTGTTTTTCAGGATAATAGTTTGACACATACTTACACTACTCGAGACACGATATTATATGCATTGGGAGGTATGGTTTCATTATTATATTAATTACACTGTTTAAGACGATTTTTTTTTGTAATATCCGATGGGCAATTCTTGTGGAGCGTCACTTCCTAAACACGAATTTGAGAACAAAATTGCTGTATGCCCCTTAGTTTTTTCGAAAAATTCGAATTTTTGTAAAGACCTTTAATTTTTAACAAGAATAATTTTAAACTATCGATGATACAAAAATTTCGTATCGGGATTTATGTTTGGAAAGTGACGCTCTACAAGAATCGCTCATTGGATATTACAAAATCCAAAAAAAGTTAAAATTTGTTGGACAGTGTTATTTTACGATATATAATAATAATAATGATGAGCAACAGTATAATTATAATGATTTTTATAGTCGGTGCTACCGTACAAGATACGTCTGATATGCGTTATCTGTACGAGAATCATGAAGACTTTGCTGCATTACCAACATTTTATGTTCTCTATGGTCCAGTGTTTGTAATGTCTTCTAGAATATTCGAAGAAGGTTTACCTGGATTTCAAATAGACCCGATGAAGGTAACTTTACCGTTTGAATATTTCTTCAGCTCGTATTTGTGCATTCATTATGATTACAGATGCTGCATGGAGAACAATACTTGGAAGTTTACAAATCGGTGCCAACAGAAGCTACTGTGCGAACACAATTTAAACTTTTAGATGTACTTGACAAGGGTTCAGGAGCTGTATTTATAATACAGCGTATGTAAACACCATTGTTTCATTTTATTTCTCATTACATACATAGATGAATTTTAATTATTTTAACTTGTTGCAGATGAAACATTCGACTCCGTCAGCGGAGATAAATTATCTACAGGACAGATGTCAATTTTTGCAGTAGGAGGTGGTGGATTTCAAGGAAACCGAACATCTTCCAACATTGTGCCAACTATTGATCCCCCTAATAGAAAACCAGATGCATCCGTTACGCAACAAACTAGTTACGATCAGGTAGTAAAAAAATATTTAATATCTGAAGACAGGAATGTGTTTGTTTTTAATTTGTATATTAAATTTTAATGTTACCACGTTTAGGCAGCATTATATAGATTGAGTGGCGATACAAATCCTCTACACATTGACGCAAACATGGCAGTAATTGGTGGTCATAAAAGACCAATTTTGCACGGTTTATGTTCCTTTGGATTTTCTGTCCGTCACGTCCTGAAAACTTATGCCGGCGGCGATCCAAGTGCATTCAAAGCTATCAAGGTACAGTAAATGTTAAAACATCACGATTACAATATCGCTGAATAAATGAGAAGGCTCGTGTAATTTAAATTACTTAATAAATGAATTTCTTATAGGTCCGTTTCGCGAAACCTGTTCTTCCAGGTCAGACTCTGCGTACCGATATGTGGCAAAATGGAAATAGAATACATTTCCAAACGTATGTCACAGAAACTAATGTACCAGTCCTGACAGGTAAACATATCAATTATAACGGAAAACCCAAATATTTGAAACTGTAATTTGTTGCAAACTTTTGCAAATATAGTTATGGTTTTTTAGATTTTTATTTTCTGTACGTATAGGTGCCTACATCGATTTGAAAGAGGTAAAAGTTAATCAACTTCAACCAAATCCCTGCTCAGGCACTGAAAATCTTGAAAGCGATGCGGTATTCGTGACTATAGGTGAATACGTGAAAGCGAATCCGGAAGAAGTAAAAAAAGTCAATGCTGTCTTTGTTTATCATATTCTATCGAAAGGAACTCTACAAGCAACATGGAGTAAGTATTGTTGTAACTGAAAACTGTTACATTTTACTACATACATCTTATATCATACGTTTTCTTTTCTTATTATACATTGTGATTGTTAATGTTATTAATTTTAAAGCTTTGGACTTGAAAAAAGCTGAAATGTACAAAGGAGAGCCTAAATCAGGGAAAGCCGATGCAACGTTGACGATCGAAGACGCGGACATGATTCAAATGGTAAATTACTTTTGAGATTAATGCATGTTTCTTAAGTACTGTTTTACGAGACATTAACCCAACGGATTGTTTTATTTTCAGGCTTTGGGCAAATTAAACCCTCAGACGGCATTCATGCGAAGAAAACTAAAGATTACTGGAAATATCATGCTCACTCAGAAGTTAAAGACTCTTATGGAAGCCGCGAAATCAAAATTGTAAAATCGCTAATATTCGTCGATAGTTGATATACAATTGTTGTTATATTGAGATGTATAATTGTTGCCTTTTAATGTTCGAAACTTTTATATTTTTATAATTTTTAAACGGTACAGTAAGGTTGAGGGTGAAATGATTATACATAAATTATAATAAATACCCTTTTGTTGAAATGGTTTGGAAATACGGCGTTGGTTCTGTATCTTTGCATAGTCGTGTTTCCGATTTATTTATATTCTCTTCTGAACAGATGCACAATCTTTAATTTTTATTTTAAATACTTGAAATTTATACATTCATTTACATGTCTCTTTACCTCGTATTGCATATACATGCACCCGCATATATGTACGTATGTTTACCTCAGTTTAGTTAACTAATTTTGATTTTTAATCGGAACTGTTACTTCGACTAGTTTTTCAGGATTAGTTTTTTGGACAACATGATTATGCTCCTTTCTTTCTAGTCTTTGTTTTATCAAACTTATAAAATCTGATTCATTATGATTGTTTCTAATACAATTTTGTACTTTAATTGATTTTTGTGCAAGTTTATTGCGGTTTCGTTTTTTCATATTGTCACTTTTTATGATTTTTTCGGTGCGTTGTTTTTGCGTTGATTGTTTTTTCTGAAACGATGCATCGTGTTCGAAAAATGTTTTAACCGGACTTTGTGCAACAGTTGCTTTCGAATTTGGCAAAGAATCAATTTTATCCGTATGAAGCGTTTCTTTAATTCCATTACTTTCATTAGCCTGTATACGTTTTACTATAAATTCTGTACTGCATGCTGTAGCGACATTTTCATCGGATGTATCGAGACACACTGTATCTTTATTAGCAATTCGTCCTCCATGTAAAAACGCGGACATGTTCTTCCGCCTCCACATCTTCGAAGTTCTTGGTATAAATTGTTTACATTTTCCTTCAAACAAAAATTCGCTCGTATCGATATTTTGTATCTGTCCTTTCAAAAACTGTAAATATTTATTTAAGCTGGTGAAAAAATGTAATTTGTCCGTCATTTTAGGGAAATTTGCACAACGAGCGCTACTCGACGGTGTTACCCAAAGTGCGACGTCTTCGACGCGTTCAGGTTGTAATCCAAAATGGAAATTATCGGTTTTATTGGCAAACACATCGTAAATGCATTTGCCATTAAAAACAGCAATCTTTGGTTTATAAGTCTTCAGTTTTTCCTTTACTATTTCACAACCTTCTTTGATTTCTGCTCGTTTGAGATCAGAGGACGATCTTGTAGCCCGAGCGACAATGTTTGTTAGACCGATTCCGTATTGCGTTAATTTATAATCTTCTTCGTATTTTAGACATTGGGGTGTAAGTCCTGCCTCGTGCAAAAGCTTGTAAAAATGATTACCAGGACCTGCATAATACCTACCACGATGAGCGGCCATTAAACTTGGATTAATTCCAATGAAAATCATGTCCAAATTCATTTCGAGATAATCTGGCAAAGTATATTTTTGTACTTCTTCTTCCGATAATCCATCGAATCGATCAATTTTCTTTTTAGGCTTCTCCGCTTTTGTTACTAATGTTCGTTTTTTTAGCTTGTTAAATGTAAGAGTGGACATGGTTTTACGCAAAATTATTGCCAATATTTAAACAAAAATGCAATATATTCTAACGAATATACATGTATATACGAATATAATCATTATATAATTCCGAATTATTTAAAAAAACCTGTTAGTAGAACTCTCTCGCAATTTTAGATTGCATTAGTTTAGGTTAGGTGTAACATTCTGTATATCACATTTATATCAACTATCATAATTATCCATCGTGTACTTTTGCAACTCTACAATTATTAGTTTAAAAAGTAATTGTTTCTTATCGATAATCGTAGAACAGTTCCTGTCGTGCAATTTTCTTCCTAATACATACATACAGTAGGTTAAGAAGTACAGTAATTGGTTTTACCCCTGCACGCTTGAGGATGCTTTTCTTAAGGCGGGTATCCACTTGCGAATCTCTCCTGCGAGTTGCTTTGGCGAACACTTGCAAGTTGTGTATCCATTTGAGAGCAGCTTCCAAAGTTTCCACTCTCAGGAAGAACAACAACTCTCGCCACAGATGATTATCAAAACGTATTAAATTTAAATCCAACTATTTCCGAAAGTGCATACAAAATTTATGATTCAAATTTACTTTCCCTATCTATAGTTACAGATACACAATGGGTTGAAGCTTTCGATGATTTCTGTTGAAATGTAAAAGTTAATGGTTTATTACCATATATGTATAATGGTAAGTGCTGTATTTTTGTTGAGATCCCGAAAAATTTTGTCAATGAAATGATAATATTTATCATTCTTTATTAACATATTGTTCCAATACAGCTTCCATTGGTGCATCTATGTAATTAATGCTAGACATGCGTTTACCAAAGGATGTACCAATAACGTAGCATTAAACAAATGTTCTTCCGTCCATTGAATTATTCTTCTATCCTTCTTTTTAGCACCTTGAATTTTTAGTACCATAAATCTTCGATAAAATTGTATTATTCGTACACCCTTTAAAACGCAATAACTTTTTAAAAACTGGAATAAGTGACTTGAATTTTTTTTTAGATGATAGAGGGACTCTCGTTTTTACGATTTTTATAGGAGCCTATCACGAAAATTTAAAAAATGGCTTTCGCAAATCTCGGTAACTTATATGCATGCTGAACAAACAAACGACATGCAACGACGATTAATTATTAAATCGCAGAAATACGAGTTGGTAATTAACATATTTACGACTGTCTGCGAACATATATTTTGTAATTCCAATATTTACCTTATAATAATTTACTCACAATTTACAGCTGTTTACGCGAATGCAATGGACCCTAACGCGAGATCTACGCCACTATGCTTAATTCTCGATCTAATCTCGTTTCTGCAAAATCGTCAGAGAAAGATAGAATACACAGAAAACTTTTGGCAGGAATCTATACCTGGGTAAATTTTATAATTCATTTCGAATCGTTCGTCCAGTTGTAATAATAGCAATTTCAAGTAACGAATTATTTCGTTACTTTTGATTTCAAAGATGACAAAAGAAAAAGATTTTATTTTAAGGAATCGTTTTGCTTCGAGCAAAACTTTTTCCTTAGGCCATAAAACTTAATTTTTTGCGAGTCATGATATCGAAGAAGAAGAATACAAAAATTCATGAATATTGAATCGATTTAACGTTTATATAAATCTCTGCAAACCGAACAAAAGTTCAAGTCGATCGAAAGCGGTACTCGTCGCGCGTTCTGTAATTTTAATCGAAGCCATATAATAATCGAGTCGTGTGTTATTTATGAATCATTGAACACCGACCAACAAATCGTTTCGCGACAATGGACACCGAAACGAACCACGAAAAGGTCCACCAAAGGAACAACGGAAAAGAAGACACCTCGTACGAGGTCGAGGAAGTTGTAGAAAGGGCACAATATGGCACCGATATGAGCTACAAACACCCTTGGAAGTGGTCATTCATCATGCTTATCATTCTTTTACACATAGGGCTCGTGATCAGCATTCGTGCTGCGTTTTATGCTAAATGGCAATCTTTATTGTGGGGTGAGTTGCTCTGCATGCTGCGGCCAATAATTTCCGTTTTCTTTACGATAAAGACATGAAACCAAGTGGTTTTCCTTTTCTTCGAACACGCATTATTTCAATAAGCGGCTTGGGATTGGACCCTAATTTAACCGAATGCGGAGTAGCGTCGAGCTACATTTCCACTTTCGATTTCCCTTAAAAAATAAGTTGTCGTTTACGCAGAATATAAATGAACTTTAAAAAAGCTGGGTCAATAATTAATAAATATTAAAAAAAAATTATAGAACATTGCGATCCCAATGTTCATTTAACTACCTAACTATTTATTATCTAATTTTTTAATTCGAATATCGGATTTCGCAGCGTTCGCGTGGTACGCTGTCGCGCAGGTAGGAGCAGGATTAGCGTCGCATCGGTATTATAGCCACAAGAGTTTCAAAGCAACGCTTGTTTTGAGAGTGTTGCTCCTCTTCAGCCAAACCTTGAGCGGCCAGGTAAACGTTTCGCCATTCGAATGTCATTAAAATACTGTGAAAACGGTGATGGAAAAATATGATACCGATTCTAGGATTCCGCGTACAGGTGGGCGGTGAACCACTACATGCACCACAAGTACAGTGACACGGACCTGGATCCTCATAATTCGAACAGAGGATTCTTCTTCGCTCACATTGGCTGGGTAATGAAGAAGAGACACCCCCTACTGCGACAAAAACTACGCGAGGTGGACTGGTCCGAGCTAAAGAAGGACAAACTCTTAATGTTTCAGTACAAGTGAATAAGAATTTATAGATATACGAATTTATTTCTCTCGTGATATTTTTGGACGCGTTTTGTTTCAGTTACTATTTGCCTCTCTACTTCTTGTGCGGGGTGATATTACCGGTGTCGGTGCCGGTGTACTTCTGGAACGAAACGCTTTTGAACTCCTACTTCGTGACCTATCTGCTCCCCTATGGCATAGTCCTGCACTCGACGTGGAGTATCAATTCGTTCGCGCATACGTTCGGTGTCAAGCCCTACGACAGGTAAGTAAAGTAGTTTTATGCGTTTAATCGCCTGCTACGATTCGGGAAGAGATCAACGAAGGAATCTCCGTTTTAACGTTTTAGAAGGGTCAGGGCGACGGAGTCCGTGGTAACTATCTTAGCAACGCTCGGCGACGGATTTCACAATTTCCATCACGCTTTCCCATGGGACTATCGAATGACAAATATGCCGTGGTACAGCATGCACGCGAAACTGATCGATTTATTCGCCTACATGGGCATGGCCTACGATCTTAAAATGGTGACACCTCGGGTCGCTAATAGCCACCAAAAGAGACACGGGGATGGAACTGAAAAGTGGACGTTCGTGGAAGCGGTCACCCCGTTCAACAGGAAACCAATGGACGCGTCGCGCACCAATTGAACCGAATCGACGAGAATTTAATCCGGACAAAATGCAACGTCTTTGGAACTAAAACGGGCATCTCTTTGCTTATAGATCATGTATTCCACGACTCGCGTTAATCGATACGCGATCGAGAGATCGACAAAACGCACTCGCACGTTGGAAAATTAAAGAATTATTCTTGATCTCTCGTTAAATTATAACGCGAGAATGAATCTCGAATGATAAGGACACAAACGAAACGATTGATATGGATATAATAATTTCCGCCATATCTATAAATAAAAAAGATATAAAAAAAATATAGGTTGAATATTTTTCGAAAAACTATGTGTAATTTCGACGTGTTCCTTTGCAAGTTTAATTTAACGTTAAACATCGCACGAGCGATCGTGGTTTATGAAAAGATTTTGAAATACGTTACAGAGGTCGATATACTAAACAAATTAATCTTTTTAAAAAACCGATGATTCTGAGATATACGCTGGCTCCGGCCGAAGAAAGAATCTGGAAGAAGAAATAGTTTGTTCGGAATATCGCCTTTTATAACATATTAGAAAATCATAGAACATTCTTCGTCGATACGTATAAGCGAAAGGTATTACTGTTCACAAGAAATCATGGAATGTATCAATTTTAAAATCAATAGGTAACGACTTTTTTTTTACAGAATTCTCGAAATTCTCTTGTCGTTTCTCTGCGTCGTTTGCCGTCGCTGCTTAGCAACCAAAACAAAAGCGAGTGGTCCTTTAGCATTGTCCGAAGAGTGGGGTGAGAAACGAGCGTTCGGTTACGACGTGACGATCGCCGAAGGAGCCGACATTTGAAATTCACTCGTCCGTTCGAAAGTATCGCGTCGCATCGTTTCAAGATGAATCGTTGTATTCGATTGCAGAGTTGTAAATTGTATTGTTCCGGATATCGCGTTATCGCGCGTGCACGATGAAGAAGATCCTCCTGAAGCGTTTCAAGTATGGTAAGTCGTATAATTTTGAAAAGTATTAATTTTTCATATTTTATTATTCCTTATTATTGATATCGATTGGGAACATTTTGGTCATAATATTGAGAAATGCTTCGATGCGGTTATCACGATCGGTTTCACGCCACATACTTGCTCGTTGGAAAAATATAAATATTTAAGAATAGATAAATAACTATCGTGTCTCGTGGCACTTTTTATACGCGCGAATCTTCGTATAAAAAGGTTGCAGTAGTTAAATACAACCGTGCACGTAAAATCTCTGTGCAACTCCCCTCGGCAACCCTTCGCCGCACGATTACTATCGAAGCAAATCGGAATGCCGAGAGTTTGAATCTATAGATAAAAAAAATAAATAAATATCTTCTATCTAAAGCCGAATTGGTTTTAAATTTTATTAAATGGCTAAAAACTCCTCGGTGTTCCGAGGACGACTCGTTAAATCGTGGTGGTATTCGCCTACTAAAATTATTTAAACGATACATGGACTTCGTAATGCTGCGAATGGTATTCGAATGATCGAGATCCTTTCTTATCCTAAAATAGGATAAGAAAGTGTCAGGAACATTATCCAGTCTAATTATTCTGTTCTTGACATTACCTTGAGACAATCTGCCATCTGATTAAATTTGGTAAATTTTTTGACGCGTGATGAGGAACAACCATTTCATTAGTGAGGCAATTCGGTATTCATTTGAAAGAACTGATTGTAAAATAGGATAAGAACTATAATGTTTGAAAATAAAAATACTATATATATACAAAAATTAATCCAAACATCTTTTCATTCGTAGATGTTCCTAATATGTTTATTCCTACGCATTCCTTTCTCTTTCATGCCATTGACTTAAACTATTTGCTAATTGTGTCGGAAAAACATACGAGGAGAAGTTAGATGAAGAAAGTTGAGGAAATGAAGAACAGCAGAAACAGAGGACAAACGAAAAAGATTGAGTGAGAGAGAGAGAGAGAGAGAGAGAGAGAGATAGAGAGAGAGAGAGGGAGAAAGAAAGCGAGAAACACTGAGGCGAGAACAAAGGGTGAAACACAGCAGGGCTATTAGGATTTCTAGGCTTTTTAGGCTTCTTAGGTCATTTTTAGGTTCTTATTATATAAATTAAAGTACCATTTATATACTTCGACGGGGTTATTTATTGTTAATCTTTGCTGTACACACCGCATACAAATTTCATATGGCATACACGAGGTGTCATGTACTCCAGAAAATTCAAACGGCTGTCATGGTTAACACTACTTATTATTTCGGGTCCGAAAAATGACTAAATATTCTTCGGACGTTCTAAAATAAGGATGAACAGCGTTTTTCTTAAAATTATCACTGTCACGTAGTAAGAAAAATTCGGAAAGTTCACGCTCTCTGTGACTTGTAGAATAAGTCTGAAATGTAAAATAAATTTGGATATCTTAAAATATGTTACCAAAAGCATGATTCTGAACAACTGCTTATTTTGCACGTTATCACCGCTCTCTCTCTCTCTCTCTCTCTCTCTCTCTCTCTCTCTCTCTCTCTCTCTCTCTCGGGCTTTGGTAGCCGAGAAATTCGCGAGAACTTCAGCTACTACTACAATGGATTATAAATTGATGAATGGAATATAGATTGATTTTTTCCGTCAAGGACTTTAATAGGTTTGCAATATAAAAAACTTAATGTGTATAGTACAGTTTTTACTTTATTACATTTTGCACATTTATATGTATATACCCTAAATGCATAGAATTCACAGTCTAACCACAAGTTAACTAAATATAAAGTATTGTAACAATTATAGATTAATATATATAACTTTGTGAATGATTTACTACAAAAATATACAACAGCAATTGTGTCAAATGAATATTGCATAAATATTGGCAGTGAACGAGTTAATTTATTATAAAACCTTCAAGAGAGATCTTTGGTTCTGTAGTCACGCGCTACATCAATTTATAATACATAAGCACTTTATCAAGTTGCGACATGGAGAAAGTAAAAGCTAAGTTGAACAAACATTTCGTAATGCAATCGGTATTCAAAATACTTGTCGAAGTGATCTGAATAATATTTGCTTGTCATGCATAATGTACATGTACATGTGGTTTTTACATGTAGGTTCCAAATGTGGTCTTACGTAATTCGAAAATAGGAGCGATTTAAATCGAAAAAATTGGTAACATTTTTATCTATAATTTTATCATATTCTAAGCAATTCCGAAAAGTGTGTATATGTTTACTATAATATTATTAATGGCTGTTACTTATTTCATTTTACACATTACTGTATAATCTTTACGCTTTGTCATGTCTTATGAGGCTTAAATGTTAAGTTGAGAAAATAATTTTTTGTATATAACAAGCAATGTGTTTAATTTGTTCCTTTATAAATATTTAATTTTTCTTTTTAAGTCTTCTTTATAGATCAATGGTTCTCATGGAGATTTTTAATTTGCACAAAATGTTTAAAGTATATCCGTTTTCAATGGTACAACGAATAATTACTACCTAATTAACAAAAAGTGTCCTTAACCACTGATCTCGTAATCATTGCATATTAATTGTTAATTATTGTATTGTGTTCATTAGTGAGCTTGTCTTGACGCTAAAAATTTTTCATACGGTATGAACAGCTAGAAAGCGTCAAGAATATTATGATTTCGGTATGATTTATGTTGTACTAATCTTTCTAGCTTGCTTTGGTTTTAGCAAATTTTTGAATACCACGAGTATACAATAAACTCTCTTACTTAATAAACACTGTTCTTGCACACTGTTCATCTTTTTGTAAACTGTACATAAAACTTGTTTGTTCACGTGATTAAACGAGGACTATGTAAACCTTCAACTTGAGTGTCAATTTGAGGACAGTGCTGAGTATCTGGCGGACCCCAGTCATGTAAGTTTCCACTGTTAGCTAGTCTGTGCGTAAGTCGATGTGCTATTGAGAATCCACCACTACCTTCCAACTGTGTTAACACTATGATGACTTGTCTAAAACGATTACATTAACATCGATAGTTTTGCAATTCTCGGAAATGACATGTTGCGAGAAGAAAGACAATTACAATATTTTACCTGTGAAGTGGGGGGACACTATCGGCAGTTCTGAGTTGTCCTCTAGTGGACACGACGTTATAGCTTTCATGGCAGTCACATTTTACATGAATCCACTTATTTACATGACGATTTTCGACCATTACCACAAGCCCGGCCCAACCTTTAGTTAAATAATAAGCAGTCATTCCCTCTCTTCCCTGTAAATAGGCAACTTTATGAATGTTCGAACTGCCAGAATAGTTGCAACCTAGAGTGGATCTAAAGAAATTTTACTTCGTGCCGTTGTCCTTTCGCTAGAGTCAAACTTATGATGGCATCGGCTAAGACGAACGCAGGTGGAGAAATTTGTTCAACTAGAAGTCTTTTCGAGCTATGAATAGCAAGAACGTATTCGGGATAGCTGGAAGTATCCTCCATTCCTGTATGCCAGTGATTGAAAGCCAAACATACGACGATGTACAAATCCCTTTCTAGCATTTTGTGACACCCAACAAATCCGCGTACTTGTCGTTTACTATGTTCTACTAGCCTTCCCACTTCTGGTGCTGCCGGAGAACGTGTACGAAACACAACTACGCATAAATCTAACTGGGAACGTTGTGATTTTTCAGAATTCCTAAACAATATGGATACAGCTCTGTTATACCGTATTATTCTCCTACATCTTAGTTATCGTTATTTGAAACAATGTGGTAAAAAACCTACCTCTGTCCTTCTTGGAATAACGTGAATTCTGTTTCAGTAGGCTCAAGCACTGTTAAAAGTACACAAGATAAATGTCTGAGAGAAGATAAAGGAGGAAGAGTACCGCGTAATCTAACTTCGCTCCATCCAACTCTAGTTTTACAAATGTCAATGCAATCAAAATATTTTAAGACATCATCGAAAGAAATCCAAAACACGCCATCGGATGCACCATGTGGCATCAACATTTCACGCAATTGAAGCGTCCATATAGGACTGTCGTCGGACCAATCACCTTTCCAACTGTAATGACCCCAAGGATTTCGAAGTCTCAACAATCGTATTCCCTATAAGTCACATTATTGTATAATAAAAATATATATCGATAGGTCTCCTGTAATAAACCGAATCAAAAGAGGACTGCCGGACTACGAGCAGACTAGCAGACTCGTTTTGGTTCAATTTATTTCGGAAACAATGAACCGATTCAAATCCGGATCGACTTAATATAACATTACTTTTGAGTAATTAAATTATTCAGATCGAGAATATGTTCTTGACAATTAAGATTTTATGGCTACGATCGTAAATGGTAAATTATACGTTCGGTTTTTGTTCTTACCTGTACATCTCGCACATCGAGAACAGAGTACGCATGCCTACAAACATAAAACTACTATTTTACATATCCGAAAGTATTGCATACGTTCGATTGAAATTTTTTAAAATGATTTTACTCACCTTGGTCTCAATCCTTTACGCTGATATTCTTCCTCGTCGACTTTCATGTTGCCACCTCCGCAACTAGCACCCATTAAAAACATAGCTTGTCTAGAAGATAAAAGTTGCGCCCATATTAAATCCTTATCGAGTTCATCTTCGCTTGGCAAAGCAGATGGTTGCAAAGGCACGCTCTCGCACGGGGCGCCTGTAAGTGTTGCTAAACCTTCTATAGCACGCCCAGACACTAACGCTTCGTAGCAACCATGAATTTTTGCCACCGCTTTTTCGATTAATGGCACCCACAATTGCTTTCTTTTTGCCTGTAACATATTTAATCGATGTTACGATTACTAAGAAAAAAAAGCTTCCAATTGTTAACGTTAATAACACATCAACCTGAGAATACACTAAGTGGCCTCTTTTATCACAGGGTAACAAATCATCGACAAGTACGGTAGTCCATTTTCCATCTTTGCACAATCGTACTTGATAGGCTCCTTCGGGACAAGTTTCTCTCATTACCAGAACTCTTTTTACAAGTTCGTCGCTTTCAGCTAAAACAGCTAAAGCCGAGAGTAACCAACAGTTTCCTAATACTCCTTGTGAAATATCAGAAGGTAAAGGTGTTCTAAAAACAGCCCATGGGAGTTTGGAGTCAACGGTAGAATCAACATTGATTTGATGAGGCCTCCTCCATTGAACAACATGGTTATCCTTCGTTTCAGCTGGATTATAATATAAAGATTTTGGAGCTGGTGGAAATGAATCGTCGACGAAAGGTTCATTTGTCTACAAAACAAGTAAACAAGTAAACGATGTAGTTAAATAAAACGATTACCTACACAGGATGAGTTGTGAACCAATATCCCATATACATATTTTATACATTTCTGGCGGTTTAACAAAAAGCATTGCATCAAATAAAATTTATCGATGCACGAACGACCTCCAAACGTATCTGTTCCTACTATAAAATAAAAAATGTTTATTCATCCTATTTATAATAATTGTAACCATCATTTTACGTTGTTATAAATACCGTCGTATACAGGGTGCCTGTTTTAACTCGAAACGGTGGAATATCTTTTAGAAAAATGACATTATGTGCCATAAATATTGTTCCCGTAAGTGGAGTAAAGTAGGAGATCCGAAGGAGAAGTTGATTTTTTTTTTAATGGAACGTTAACTTTTTTATTCGCATTACGATAATATTTGTTTAAACAAATCCAAGGATATGCAACACCAAGTCGTTTCAGTTCGTGAAAAGTCTTAAATTTTTTAAAACCGACAGTCAAATCGACACAATGTTCCTCGCTTTCGTCCCGTTATTGTTTACTCAATTATCGGAATTTTTTTCTATCTATTTTTCTATTTCTCTGTGGTAATTTTCGCAGTAATTGTAGCAGTGTGTATATGGCCGGGTTCCGGCACCTCGAAAGAACAGAAGCGGATTTCCTGGTAAAAAAAGTATTATATTTCCTTATTCTATTTTTGTACAATCAGCATGGTGTTGGTCGCGCATAGTGTTTGGTTCACTCTAATGTAAACCAAATAAAAGAATATCTACACCTTCCTTTTTAGGTGTTCAATTACAGAAGATTATCCGATGACGTGGACGATGGAGAACTTCTTCTGATACCCATGTTGGCGTTTATCGGTATAACGTGTCAGCGGTTGCGATTGTAGAACGTCGTTGACAGAGGCGCGTCTTCGTCTGCTAGGTTTGTGAAAGCGTTTGTTGTTTTTTCTTCGATGTGACTTCGACACTGCTTGTCTATGCGTCCCTTCTGCTTACAGATGAAGTAACATGTCGAATCGCTATTAAAGTATATCCAGTATGTGGTATCTTCAAATTTTGTTTGCAATGATTCAGGTGGTAGACCTTCTTCTTCTTCTTCTTCTTCTTCTTCTTCTTTGATGTATATTTGGCAGCAGAATAATAATATATACGAGAACACCCGGGTTGTAATGACTTTTCGCGTTTACACTAGTCTACTGGTCTTATACATTTTTATAAACTTTAACACAGTAGATCTCACTTTTGCGTTATACTAATGTACAATATATACATATACAGAGTGTTAAAAAAAAAGTGGTTCAAGATTTTAAGGATTTATAGTACTGACCGAGAGGATTGGCTTTTTTGGACCTATGTTGAATGGACATTTTTTACTCCTCTCGGTCGGTATAATAAATCCTTAAAATCTTGAACCACCTTCTTAAACACGCTGTAGGTATACAGGGAGNGGAATTTTTTTCTATCTATTTTTCTATTTCTCTGTGGTAATTTTCGCAGTAATTGTAGCAGTGTGTATATGGCCGGGTTCCGGCACCTCGAAAGAACAGAAGCGGATTTCCTGGTAAAAAAAGTATTATATTTCCTTATTCTATTTTTGTACAATCAGCATGGTGTTGGTCGCGCATAGTGTTTGGTTCACTCTAATGTAAACCAAATAAAAGAATATCTACACCTTCCTTTTTAGGTGTTCAATTACAGAAGATTATCCGATGACGTGGACGATGGAGAACTTCTTCTGATACCCATGTTGGCGTTTATCGGTATAACGTGTCAGCGGTTGCGATTGTAGAACGTCGTTGACAGAGGCGCGTCTTCGTCTGCTAGGTTTGTGAAAGCGTTTGTTGTTTTTTCTTCGATGTGACTTCGACACTGCTTGTCTATGCGTCCCTTCTGCTTACAGATGAAGTAACATGTCGAATCGCTATTAAAGTATATCCAGTATGTGGTATCTTCAAATTTTGTTTGCAATGATTCAGGTGGTAGACCTTCTTCTTCTTCTTCTTCTTCTTCTTCTTCTTTGATGTATATTTGGCAGCAGAATAATAATATATACGAGAACACCCGGGTTGTAATGACTTTTCGCGTTTACACTAGTCTACTGGTCTTATACATTTTTATAAACTTTAACACAGTAGATCTCACTTTTGCGTTATACTAATGTACAATATATACATATACAGAGTGTTAAAAAAAAAGTGGTTCAAGATTTTAAGGATTTATAGTACTGACCGAGAGGATTGGCTTTTTTGGACCTATGTTGAATGGACATTTTTTACTCCTCTCGGTCGGTATAATAAATCCTTAAAATCTTGAACCACCTTCTTAAACACGCTGTAGGTATACAGGGAGCCCCCTTATATCCGGAAAGGGCTGATTCCTGCTGTAATTGAAAGCAGGGGTTGAAAACAGTTATGATATCGGTTTCGGTTCTTGAAACAGATACGAAGAACCGAAATGTTCTCATAACTGTCATAAAACTATTTTTTAATTAATCCAATATTAAAATAATATCGAATTAATAGTAGTAATAGAAATTTGTGGAGCATGGGTGGTAAAAAACAATTTTATAAAACTATAAAATAACAGAAATAATGTTTTTCTCGTCATTTTTCAACCTACAAACTCCACGAGCCCTCCCCCACCCCATTAATTTTCGCATTTATTTGAGTTATTTAAATTGAAATGAAAAACTACTTAATTAATATGAGTAAATAAAAATGGTAACAATAGAGACTTGAAACCACCACGTTTAAAACGTTAGTAGTTATTCTACAGACAGATCAATTTTTACGTTATCTATACTATGGTTTCAGTTAATCGACTTAACTTAATTTCTTCAAATCATATGTTACTTACATTTAAAAAAAGAAAAGGTTAACTTATACGCCCCCCTGTACTGTCCGGGTCCATTTGATTCAACTGTAAATCTCTATCTTTAATGATAGTATCCGCTAGCGGCGACCGCTGAAAATGTTATGTAGGTGCTGCATAGACAAAATATATGTATTCTGTTAATTATGCATCATCGTAGATATGATAGCGTTAAGGATGTGAATACAAACAAATATCCGCGCAAATAGCCGTGAACAACTAATTATGAAAACAGTTGCACTACGTTAGGTCGCAGTTCGCGTGACTCCTAATCTAAAGCGTTTAATTATTTGAGCACGATATTTAAACATAATTCATTACTCTATAACCTTCAGCATGTTATATTGTATTTATTATACACGAGTCGTCACTGTGGTATTTATTTTGAAAATATATACATTAATTTACTGACAACAATCTTTTCCCACTATAATTTAGTAACAGGAAAATTGTCCAATTTAATTGGATGCTAACTTTGATTTAATTTGATTTACAAACAATGTTCTGAACAGTGCAGAAGAGATATACAAACGTATGCACTGTCTGCTGTTAAACAGAAGTTATACAAAGTGACGTAGGACCAAGAAAAGGCCTCGTCTATTCATAATCTTATCTCATTCATATTATCACATTAACCGATATAGCAAATTTATACGTGCCTAATTTGTATTCCTACCAAATGATTTCTTCCCAACCATGAGGAGTATAATGTGCCCATTTTAACTCGGCTCAGTAGAATATCTCGGAAGGAGCTTATTATAGAAATGTTTTGGCAAAAAACGAAAGGAGAAATAATGTAGTACAAATGTATCTTTTATGGCTCATTTAAGCTTAAGCAGCTGCCTTTTTTAAACGAAGATAGTCGGAACTATTCGATTAAGATTTGTTCCTCGAGCCTTCCAAAAATTAAACGGTTACCCCGATTAACCCTTCAGCGACCGCGGTCGCGGAACGAAAACAGTCCTATGCGGCCTGACGTAAACAACTTACCTCAGAAATGCAAATAGCATAATATTACATCTCTGGAGTTGTGAAATGCTGGAGTTGAAATAATTCTTTTTGTGGAAAAGTACAGTCGTGACGTTGGCTTTTGCACTATTCCCATGAGTAACAATAGGCCAATAACACTATACGCATAATTCATTCACTGTAATTGTTACGAATATACATTCTTCTAATGATCGTCTTCTTGAGGTGATATTGAGCTCCGCGTATTTGTTTGTTTCATCTGCTATCTTTTCCACGAGGTCTTGCGTAAAAAATAATAAAACCGAATCAAGAACTGACTTCGCATTTTTTGCTTCATTTTAAGATCCATAATTCTCATTAAATGTTTCCCTTTGTCCCGCATAATTATCCATATCCTGACATTCAAAATGTTGCTGAAACTGTGCACTATCATAGCACTCGATATCACTATCACCATGTTCACTTGTAATAATAGCATTAACAAAATCATCAATAGAATTCTCACTATCACTTTCACTTTCGCTAAACGAACTTTCGTTTGAATCGCTAACTTGTAACAGATTTTCGAACCGATCTTCGCTGTTTCGATGTATTTATTAATAATACGTGATATCTCTTATCTGTCATTGTATATATACTGTACATATACATCCTCAAGCGAGTGGTCCAAACAGTTCCTATTACGAAATTGCTGTTTATATAAACAAAGAAACGCCAGACGTGATCTGTTGCATAGATCCGTATCCGATAAGGACCCAGGCGTAATACGATACGGAGGTGGTCGCCGAAGGGTTAAACAGTGACTCAAAAATGCAGAATTCAGTATTTTACAACATTACATAAAACGGAATGTATTGTGTGGTGTTTCACTGAATTTACACTACAATAATATAAATAAAAAAAATACAGCATTCCACTTAAAAAAACTAACCTGACCTTAAAATTTCACTTACTATTTCATCCATAGAAAAATATTTGTATATACCACATTATGTCTCCCTGCACATTGAGAACGTTCATAAAGATATTTGTTCCTTCTAAGGAGGTATTCCAATGAGTCGAGTTAAACTGGACATCGCGTTAAAAACATATAAAATGTAATCTTTATTTTTTTGTATTTGTTATTTGACAAAATTCGGTGAAATTATTATTACTGTGAACATGTAAGTACTGTTTCATTCCTAAACAATGATGAGAAAACGATAAAAAACGATAGTTCTATTTTTATCTTTTCAATAGAGATAGATTTAAATTCAGTTCAGTATATATTTTCTTAAAAAAATTATCTTAGTAGATTATCTGCAGCGTCGGTCAGGTCAACTCGATTCAAAGGTACTTTAAACACAATCGTTCGATTGTACCCATAGTATAGAACATAACATGCCATTGAACTGTACAATATTCTTCTTTGGATATGAATTACAAAAATTACCTAGATAATTATTTGTTATTAGTATTACCTCTTTACAATAACGGACAATTCGTTCCCACTTCTCCAATGCTTCTCTTTCTTCGATTTGCCTTAAATTTTCCATCACGACACTTTCCTGTCTTTGTATTGTAAGAGTATTTGTGCCAGATTCAATAATTCTAGGCTTATCACCCGATATTTGAGACAAGGTCTTTGAAATTTGGCACATTTCACATATTCCATTTGTACTCTTATTTTCATATGTGCACAACTTACACTGCCACTATAATAAAAGATACGTATTATTTTCGTTATACTTATAAAACTACAAACACAAAATAGTTACTGCTATGTCTGAAAGTATTTCTAAATAAATAAATAATAGCTATATATAAAATAATTAATAATAAGCCTGTAACATACTTGACCATGAGTAGAATCTTTTACTCTTGTATGCCTTTTATCGCCGACCGAAGAACCATTTCTTCTTATAGAATTTCTATGCCTTGGTGTAACAACTTTCGAATTTATAGCAGTTGGACAGAGTCTTGGACTTGGACTTCTCGATCCAAAACTTCTGGTCTCTTTTGGTACATCTAGAAAATCTGCTACTGTCTTACAAGCGTTACAAGTTTGTGCTGACAATGGATTTCTTAATGTACACGATGAGCACACCCAGCTTTCTCCTTTTCGTAATGTAGCGTCTTCTAAATGCATAATACTTCTTAATTTTGAACCACCGCACGCTTCGCAAGTAGTTCTCGAAGCAGCGTTTAATAATGTGCACTTTTTACAAGTCCATACTGGAGAAGGTAGGTCAACTTGATCATCTAAATCAGACTCTGCCATAGCCAATGTAGCAGTTTTTTGTGGAATATATCTTACGCTATCTCTAGATACTACTATTGGAGACTGAGTATGCATCGAACAGCTTGTTCCATCTTTCGTAACAGTTATTAAATTACGCTGAGTTAATGAAGGAGGAGATCGAAATGATCCGCATATATCACATCCAGTTGACCATAGTGGATTATATGCGTAAGAACACTTTTGACAAGTCCACATACGTTTCAAGGAACTTACACCTGACACATCTCCAACAGGACTTGTTGCCTCGCTATGGGCTTTAATAGGTACTAGACCTAATTTAGTATTTTGTTTCTTTGGCAATGGTGGTGGTATATCTGGGCCAGTAATTCCGATATACGAGTATTTTGGTCTTGTACTGAAACTAGCAGAATGTGGTGGTACCGCAGGTGGTTCATCTTCGTTAAGACTTCTTCTATTGGCTATTTTCTTTTGAGATACATTTGTAACAGATTCAATGTCAGAAAAAGATCGCCTATAAGACAGTGGACCTGCTGAAGATAAAGCACGAGGTTCCCAAGTGGGTACGCTGATAACTACTCCGCTACAAGGTGCTGGACTTCTAGGGGCTTCGCAAGCTTCGCACTGTTCTAGGCCAGGAGCATTATCAAGAGTGCAATTATCACAACTCCAAAGTGCATCATCCTGTCGTGCTTCTGAAACTACTAGACTTGTTGGCCTTTGTATAGCTTGTTCAGATAATTTATGCACCACAGAACCATTAGATAAGGAGCGACTAACTTTAGATTTAACTCTCTCATATATCGAGGGACTGTGTCTTTTTGGTGAACGCTCTGAGCCATTGTTAGTATTTGTGTAAGAAAATGTAGTTGAATCCATGGTTTCTATCGGTGGTAAGGTCCAATTTTCTCTATCAATTTGTCTCCTTTCATTACGAGTTATACTTGTTAACTGTGCCATGTCTGTAGAATATAAATGAAATGTTAAATCTCAACTAACACAGATATTATATAGAATATTTTCAACTAAATAGTATGTACCCTTACTAATAATCCTTGCATTGCTTGTAGAAGTACTTGTAGCATTAGAACCATTCAAAGTATTTGCTAAGAGCTTAGATGCATCTTTGACACGACTTATTTTATGTATATTTAACTTTTTGCCTTTACGTGCTCCAATTTGCCTTTTGCCAGTTTCAAATAGTGAAAAGTTAGCATCGCAAGCTGCACAAGTTAATGCAGAACTGCAATTATTCTTCAATAAACAACGAACACAAGTCCATTGTGTTACTAAGGAAGGTAAAGAAGAAGATCGTTCAATTGGCTCTTTTTTACAGGACCTTTCATTCCAAGAATCATGATGTAACTTCTTTGAACAATTATTGCGTGCAATTAAATTCTCCTCAAAGCTAGAAATTAATAAAAAAAAAACAAAAATAATACTTTGTAACAGAATAACAATTATTTGCAAATGCTACATAAATATACAGTGTGCCTACCGTACGTATTATCGAGAGATAATATACATAAAAGTCTAATTAGTCTAGATAGAATAATTTCATTGTAAAACTTCTGTGATTAAAAGCTAAAAAATTCTAAAGGATGCATGTTACACACACACATACACAATATTAGTCCCAGAACTATAGACAGACTTTATTGTTTTATAAACATTCGGATACAATATTCTATACAAAGTTTGAACATTAAAAATGTTATTTATGTAAT